GTAGCTAAGCTTAAGAAGAATGGGAATCCCAGAACACTTGATTGTGCTTATGTGAAACCTATACCTGGACTAGGAAGCAGTCCTCAGAACAGAGCAAGGAAACTGCATGGTTCAAAATCAGGAAAGGAGTCTGTCAGCGAGGTGTCTTGTCTCCATACCTTTTCAATCTATTTGCATAACCGGTCATTTGGGAGGCTGGGCTTTATGAGGAAGAATGTTGCATCAGGTTTGAAATAAGGCTCATTAACAACCTGCATTATGCACATGACACACCTTGTTTGCTGAAACTGAAGAGGACATGAAGTGTTTGCTGCAGAAGGTCAATGACGGTAGTCTTTGATATGGATTGAAGCTAAACATCAAGAAGACAAAGATTTTCACAATGGGGCCAAACAGTGGTACCATGATAGATGGAGAAGAGGTTGAAGTTGTTAACAATTTCAGCTTGCTTCATGGCACAATCAACATTCTTGGCATCAGCAGTCAAAAGAAATCAAAAGACAAACTGCATTGGAGCAGTCTGCTGTCAGGGACCTCTCCAAAGTCCTAAAGAGTAAAGATACAAGTCTAGGGACTAAGATGCACTTGATACAGACCATGGTCATCACAATTACTTGCTATGCATCAGAGAGTTGGACAATGACTAAGGATGACAGAAGAATCATCAATGTCTTTGCTGCTGGAGAAGAGTACTAAACATACCATAGACTGCCAAGAGAACAGGTCTGTCTTGGAGAGGATAAAACCTAGTTTCTCTTTGGAGGTAAGGTTTTTGACATTCTATCCCACATACTTTGGGCACGTGGCCAGGCAGGACCAGTCCTTGGAGAAGAACATCATGCATGGAAGGGTGGAAGGGAGAATGCAGGAGAGGAAGACCCCAGATGATATGGATTGATACAGTAACTGAGGTAATGCAGGTAAGTGTGACACTGGCTCAGGGCAGAGTTCAGAGCTATCATATATATGATTGCTATGAATCACAGGTGATTCGACAGCACATAATAACAACAAATGGTGAAACAGAGCACCATAAGTAAAATTAACTCTGACCAACAACGTCTGCCAGAGTCTAGAAAAGGGACATTGTACTAGTCAAGAATTATTACTATTGTTCTAATTACCTCCTAAAAAGCTCTGTAGATGATTAGATTTTAAATTGCTATGATTTTCAATTTAATTTAAAATGCCCCCATACATTTAAAGTAGATATCACAGTATTATCACAGAATGCCTTAAGTCAAATAAGCACTAATATACATTGTTGTTGCTGTTGCTAAGTGCCGTCGAGTTGCAGGAGACTCATAGCGACCCTAGGAAGGGGAGTCCTCGACGCTTGGGTGCCTTTCATCCTCTCTCCAGGTTCATAGGGTTTCAGGAGGCAAGCTATTATGGAAGTGGATGTCACTCCTCCTTCCACGCTTGTTTTAATTGGGTCCAAAAGAAATCTCAAAACATAAAACGGATTAAAAAAAAACCTACATAATTCCCACTGTTATCATTGTGATCATGCATCATTGAGTAGGAACTGACTCACATCTGACCCTCCTCTAGAGAGGGTTTTTAGAGACTGTAAATTGCATGGGTAGAGATTGCCCATCTTCCTCCCTTAAAACAGCTGATGGATTTGAACTGTATGCTTCTGGGTTGGCAGAGACAACATCTTAACACTTAACTACCAGAGCTCCTGATTCCCATTATCTACTGTATAACTACAGAAAATGTATATATTTTTTAATATTAACACATAAAAACTGTCATCAAAGCACAAGACACAACACAAGCAGCCCAAAGGTTACAAAGGGATCCATTATGAAAGCTGTCTTTAAATAAAATTTGTAGGTGAGCTCTGATGGCCTAGTGTTAAGAAGCTGTGCTCCCTGCTCTGCGGGAGATGAGCAATCTTCTGTGGGATTAAACTGCCTATGAAAACATGCTAGAGGGTGAGCCATTGGTTGGTTCTAACTTAACAGCATACAACAACAACAATGCATTACCATAGGATAAGAAAGGCCCACAGGTTTCTCAATGTTTTAAAAGCTGTACATGAGGAGCTCCTGTGGCCTAGTGGCAAAAAGCTACACTGCAATCCCAGAGGTGCATCGTTCAAATCCACCAGATTCTCTGCTGGAGAAGGAGGAGCAATCTCCTCCTGTGCCAGTGAGATCTGATTTGATGGTACACACACAAAAAATAATAAAATAAAATTTTTTAAAAAAGCTGCACATGAGACAAGAGAAGATGATCATAATAAAGAATATGTTGAGAACAGGGGTTGAATCAATTGGTACAAAAAAAAGGGCAAATTTATATAACATTTAAGGGAGAACAGGAGGAGTCCATAAAGTGAAGTTTATAGCTCAGGCACTGTCTGTGCAAGCTCTCAACTATTGGACAATTCAGACTGATCAAAAGAAAGCTGGTATGTGGAGCAGTCTGAGTTCTAGAGATAATTCAGCCTTCCTTTCTCTTCTCTCCAGCCAAATATTTTTTTGTAACATTAGTGAAGGATCTAAGGCAAATTTTGCCTGCTGTGCCTTGCCTTAATTCTACAAAATATATTACTCTGAAAACTACTACTAATCAACAACTACTATTTGTGATGTGATTTCAAATTTCAGATATATGCAACTATGATACATTCTTTAAAAACACCACAAGTCAAAAATACCTATTTGTAACCATAAAGACGGTCTTCTTCCCTCCAGGAACAGCACAGTGGTATCGGTAAGTCTCTTCTTGTAACTTTTTGATCTGATTCTGAAAAAGGAGACAAGGTTTAGTATTTGGGAAGCACATGCACCCAAGGGGTACTTCCAGTACTGTTTCTCAGCTTATACAGACTATTTAAAAATATCTACCAGTACTGTTAACAGTGCCAGTTTGGAAAAATCTTAGTAAAAGCATGATTCTACTGACTGATAAATGACACTAGAAAAATATTCATAGCATGTTCATAAAATAGCTTGCACTGTTACCTGAGAAGACAAAATGTATTAAATTTTTACCAAGGGTATTTTCAAGTAAAATATATTTGAGTCTGTAGTAAATTAGACCATTTTAAAGTATCTACCAGAAATAATCATACATTTTCATTAATGAGACTGAATATATACAAATAAACACTGCTATATTATCACAACATAATATAAAACCAGTTTATTATCCCCACCCGGGCACATGGAAGGATGCTGGGGTAGGGACCTATGAACCTTCTACAACAAAGTATGCAATTCTGACAGGTGGTCCTGTTTACAGAGGAGGCTCATGGGTTTTATCAGTCTTTTTTAAGTGATCTACTATACCTCTTGGAAAAAAAAATAACTGGTTTATACAGTGATACACAGTATACACATACAAATCATTCAGGATAAATTGTTTAATGGTTTTAAATAATTGGCTTTATAGATTAAACATACATAAAAGTACATTTGTCTAAGAAATTATATTAATAATAGAAAACAGTAATGGCAGTATAATGTGAACATAAAGCTGTCAGTATTAGTCGCTAATTATAATACAATTCATGATTAACCGCTAATAAATAAAAGCACAAAATAATTCAAGTAAAAACAGAAGCAAATTAAAATACATTTGTTTTCCTATTCAACTATCTTAAAAGACACTATGACTTTAAGCGAAAAGATTTACATTAAAAGAAAAAAATTGTTCCTTTTTTATAATGAATGCTAATAAAATATTATATTGACATTATCTAGAATACATAATTATAGGTTAAATGAGATAATATAGGAGAATATATAAAAATACCTAAAAAATAAAACTTTAACAATTTACAACAAATAAGACAACATTTTTAAAAAGAAAAAAAGCACATTTTTTTATTATTATTATCTCAATGTCTAAATATATTTGGTCCCTACTCTTAAAATTACAAAAAGTCATAAACAAGGAAGGTAAGTCCCCAGACCAGAACTGGAGTCTCATCTTCAGAATGAGCATCAGCAAAGAAAATGGTTTTCACAGCAATAGTCACTTGTTTACATTTTAGTCATGTGACTTAGATAGAATCATCTAATATTTATGTTCTAATTTTTATAAAGAGAGACATGAATAATTTATATGATAATTTAGTGGATTTATTTTTATTTTTTAATTAGGAAAATATTAAAAAACATAGATATGTGAAGTAATGTTCAATAAGTATTACCCTGTTTCCATTTTATATACATTTCCATTAGTTACCAGGGTACTGAAAGTCCAACCACGGCATCAAATTGTTTCTCTTTCAGACATAGGAGAAGAAGTGAAATTGGAAGAGACTAAAATTTTAAAAATCTGAATGAACTAGACTGATAATTGGGATGGGGAAAAGTGTAATAAGTCAAAAATCTGTTCAAAAGTTAAATCTCCTTCTTAGAAAACAAGGACAGCATATGAGTTGCACAGCAACCAAATCTCTTGGTCTTCGTATTTTAAGCAGTTACACACAGCATTGCTCAACTGAAAAACGGCAATCCACCATGCTGTGAATGGGTGGTACTCTTCATAGTTCTGTGAATAATTCAATCTCTGACTTACCAGGTTCCTGAAAGGTTCCTATGCCTCTTCCAGGGCTATGATCTAGAATTTCCATTTACCATTCTGGGATTACCCAAATTTTAAACACTGGGGTCTGTGCCAGTTTTACTTCATCACCATGGCTGACCAAAAAGAACTTTTAAGATATAATTTGCTACCGTAACACACTTAATTACAGCTGTACAGAAAATATCAGTTTCAGCACTATTTTAAAATCTCCTACACTGTATAACATTCAAATTAAGATATTCTGTCACTGATGGCAGCAGAAAAGTAGCAGACCACATTAGTGACTAACATATTCACTGCTCCTTTCTAAAATTCAAGTTTAGGAGTTTGGTAACATTTGGAAAAACATCTTAAATAATTCTATTCCTTCAAATAAATTCTAGGGAAATAATATATGATAAAACAAAGTAATATGTATAAAAATGTTGATCACATGTTAGTAAGATAACAGAAACAACTTTAAGGACAAAAATGGTGAAAAATATACAAATAGGGTTACCTCAATAGACAGTAAGGCAAAAATTTAGAATGTTAATGAAACATTTCTAAGAACATGGGGAAAAAAAAATAATGGTTTATAGTAAAAGTTGGAAACAGCATTTTAGGTACAGTACTGTATTATCACAAGTATGTAAACCAAAGATGAATGTTCAAGAAAACTGGCAGTTTTACTATTTACTGATTGCTGATGAGTCAGAATTAACTCATGACTGACTTTCTAGTGGGTTTCAGAAGCTGTAAATTATATGAAAGGAGACTGCCCACTTTTCTCCCAAGGAGCAGCTGGTGGACTTGAACCAACAGAGAGGCAAATCTCTGGGTTTAATAGTGCAATTCCCTACGGACTATTCCAGTAGAGCTTCCCTAAAACTGGCAGTATATATATACTAAAATGTAAAGAATAACTATCCTAGGGGAATTGATAATTAGCAGACAGAGTGTATCCCATAAAAACACAGTACATTTTATAACACTCAAAGCTGAATATTAAATTAAAGAACTTGGAAGAACACTCACTAGGAGAAGAAAAAGATATTAGGTAAATAAAAACATCTCCAGTAGACTATTTAGAATGTACCCATATTACATGGGCTAGGAAAACATAGTTTTATACTCTAGGGCATTTCAATATTGAACATTTTGTTATACCTAGTCCCATAAAGACAGGTTTTAAAAATTTATTTTTGTATATCTAACAGAAGCAGGAGTGGCATCATCCACTTCCTCAACAACATGCCTCTAGAAACTCTATGAACTTTGATAAATGACGATAGTTATAGAAAGGCTTTAGGCCTTTCGTTCATAGGGTCACTATGAGTCACGCTCAACTCGATGGAAATCAACAACAATAACAACACTGTCTACATAATAAATATCTGTTACCCAATTACTGATTCTAAGACTAGTAAAAGATGAAACAGCCCAAGTTCTTAATCATCCATACTTCATCTTGCTAGTTATGAGAAAAACAATAAAATTCTCTAATTAATGTACATTTATTTAATTTCTTCCAATGATCTTAATACCATTAAAGTTTAAAAGGTTGTGCAATAATGTAACAAAAACTAGTAAAACAGACAAGGTAGCAATATACCTTACATTTTAGTAAAAAATAAAGTAAAAAGTTTCTTGCAGTGCTTACTGACATACAGTTTTTAAAAAGGGAAATCAGGGGAATGTTTGTAACAAAGAGATAAACAAAATAATTAAACAATAAGTAAAGAAAAATTCAGGTTAGCGTTCTCAAAAATGAAGTTTTACACTTAAACCTTAAATATATTTAAGAAAAATAAAAGTTGTAACTTTTACCTATGAAGGAAGGAGAATTATTAGTGATTAAGACAGTAACTCTAATTACTGTGTTTGATTCTCAGAGAAAACTGTGCACATGCAGTGATATTTTTTACAATCTTCAATTATCAAGGCATAAGAAAAATTTGTCAGCTCCAGTTTTAACTTGGTATTTAGATGTTATTCTTGTTTCCTTAAGGTACATCTTTATATATACACATATGGCATTAAATTTGCTCTTATAATAACTATGGTTTTACATACAATCCAGGTTGACTGTTGTATGCTAGCAATTTCACTCTCTTGAAATATGTAACATATTGAATCTATGTGCACACTTTGGTTTCAGTTTTGGAGGCAAGCATGAAAACTGTTAGATAAAATACTGCTAAACTTAATGAAACATTATCATCCATAAGAACAAAAATCAAAACATTAGCTACAGTAGCTTGAATTTCAAAATGAAAACTTAATTTTTTTCACACTTAAGGATAAGATTCAAAGTAAAAACTGTTGATTTAAAAAAAATAAAGGTATCTGTATATGCAAGTGTCACACCCAAATTCTATTTACATTAATCAAAACTAACAACTGGGAAATAAGCATAACCAAAAAGGAGATTTAATTTTTCAAGAGCATAAATGCTAAAGAGTGGGCATGTGGGTAGCAGACTTTTAAAATGATTGTCATCTATTTAGCAAAGAGCACATGAGTGTTTTTTAAAAATGAACTGAAGATATATATGGGAACATATCCCCAAAATCCACGTGCCAACTCTTATTTGCAGTCGAATGATAGACTCAAGCAATAGATATGTCAATAATTAAAACATATGCTCCAAGTAATAGTCTCATAACTTTAGTAAATTTAAGGTGATTTATGCAATGCCATCATTAGGACTCATAAACATAAGACATGAAGTTACTAGACTGGGCATAAAAATTGTTCTTTTCCCCAACATCACCTGAAATGGACATGAGTGCCCTAAAGAAAAAAAAATTCAATATGGTAACATAAGTGTTTGCTTCTAAAACACAATAAAGTCCTTCACTCAAAAATGGATGTGAGTTGATTTCCTATATCCTTTACTCTTTTATAGTAAAATTTTATTCCCGCATAGTATTACTAGGAATGCCACCATTTTTATTTATAACCACTACTATGGAACTTAGATGAACGTTAAGAATTGTGGGGGGGAAAAAAGCTAAAATTGACCCTTGCTTTAAACAATTCACTCAATTAATACCACAGTTTTTATTTTTAAGGATGAAATCAAGTAGTAGCATAGGAAACATTTACTCTTGTATTTCCAGTTCTTGCTGTGTAGGCAGAAAAAGAAAGAAAATAAAGTTAGAAGCATGCATAAAGACAAAATGCAATCACATAATAAAAAGCAAAGGCTAAGACCAATGAAGAATAATTTCATTTTAAAATCACAAAAGGACAGTATTAATTAATTTATTCTGAGGGAAAGGCGTTCATATGAGATTAGCAACTTAAACACATGTGTATACATACCCTGCCCACCTATAAATAATTTAAATGCAGCAAAGTTCAAACTAAAATAAAAGTTTGAAAATATTATCATTGTATGTAGTTATTGTAAAAAATCATTTTAGGTAGTCCTCTGCCAGCTTCTGTTTACCTAAATGAATCTAGATTTATAGTGGAAACAAAGATATTCCAACAATTAGCTACAAGTAGACCAAAATTAACATTATCTAAATTAATTATCACAGAATCAGAGATCTAACCCACAGCTTATTTCAAGATCATCTGCTCTTATGCAGAATAAATTTACCAGTTATTCTCATTTACCATATAATACTAAAATTAAAAACATCAAATTCTGCTCTACAAATCATGTTCATAGTGTAATCCTCATACAAGTTCATGAATCAGGAACTTAAAAATACCCCATCCATTAAACTCTAGTTATGATAATAAGGAATCAAATTTACCTCAAATAGATCATAGCCCTCAGATTCCTGTCTGTCATATGGCCGAATGATGCCATCTTCATGAATCAGGCGAGGAGGACGGAGGCTGGATACTTCCTCAGTTGACTCTGCTGCCCTGTGTAACAGAGAAGAACATAAGAAAATGTGTGAGAATCTTCCAAAATGATGCACATGTCTATGTTGATTTAAAAAGGTTGTATTCCTCTTTGCATCCATATTTGATAAAGTAATCATATTCTTTCTAAAATTTCCCTAAAGTAACCTAACAATTAACAAAAATCAAGTCTCTCTGAATCCTAAATCCCCTCCCTCCTTTTATTTCATTAACAAAATAAAAAGAAAAAAGTGCAGAATTAGGTTGCCTACCCTTTGCATCTTGTATGTTTAATCTCTAGCAAAATATTTCACATATAGCTGTTGTTGTTATATACCATCAAGTTGCCTGCAACTAGTAAAAACCCTATGTACAATAGTCCTGAAACCTGCTCTATTTTGCGCCAATCTTATTGTCTCTGACACATCTATCCCCATTAACCCACTCACTCACTGAATCAATCCATCTCATTGAGGGTCTTCCTCTCTTGCGCTGTCCCTTCACACTTGTAAGCATGATGTCCCTCTCCAAGGACTGGTCCCTTCTTGCAATATGCCCAAAGTATGTTAGACGAAGCCTCAGAATCCTTACCTCCAAAGAACAGCCTGGCTTCACTCTCTCCAGGATGAACCTGTTTGTCCTTCTGGCAGTCTATGATATATTCAATACTCTTCTCCAGCACCTCCACTCAAGGGCATCAATTCTCTATCATCTCTTCTCATTGTCCAGCTTTCTGACGCATTGCAAGTAATTGTAAAGACTATGGCCTGGATCAGACGGCACATTAGTCTCCATACTGACATCATTACTCTTCAATACTCTGGAAAGGTCCCTGACAGCAGACTTTCCCAGTGCAATTCCTCTTTTAATTTCCTGGCTGCTGGTATCAAGAGTAATGATTGTGGAGCCAAACTAAAACTGCTAACAATTTCAATCTCTTTACCATCTATCATAATGCTGGCAATCAGCCCAATGGTGAGAATCTTTGTTTACATGGTGTTGAGCTTCAATCCTTATTGAAGTCTGCAGTCCTTGACCTTCTGCAGCAAGTGCTTCAGGTCCGCCTCAGTTTCAGCAAGCAGGGTTGTGTCATCTGCATAACTCAGGTTGCTGATGAGTCTTCCTTCGATCCTGACACCCCATTCCTCCTCATACAGTCTCCCAAATGATCTGTTTCACATACAGATTGAAAAGGTATGGAGAAAGGACATATCCATGACATACACCCTTCCCTATTTTGAACCCTGAAGTGTTTCCTTGCTTGGTCCAAGTATAGGTTACATATAAGCACAATCAAATGTTCTGGGATTCCCATTCTTCTCAGAGTCAGCCACAGTTTGTTGTGATCCACACAGTCAAATGCCTTTGCATAGTCAATGAAACACAGACAGACATTCCTCTGGTACTCTCTGCTTTCAGCCAAGATGGACGTAACATTAGCTATAATATCTCTAGTACCACTGCCTCTTCTAAACCCAGCCTGCATGTCTGGAAGTTCTCTGTTGATGTATTTTTGGATAATTTTTAGCAGAATCTTGCTTGCACCTGATCTTAATGATACTGTTTCATAATTTCTGCACTCTTGTCAGGTCACCTTTCTTTGGGATGGGAACAAGTATAGATCTCTTCAGTCAGTGGGCCAGGTGGCATTACAGTAGGTACCAGTAATTAGCAGTTGCATAAATGAGAAATTGCAATGTAAAACTATATTTTTTAAAATTCCTTTTGGTTATACTCTACCTTGTGAATTTGTCATAGATTTCAAATAGTCTAAGATTCTTAAGAGCAGGCAAAGTATTTAACTAAGGTATTTATGTATCTTAACTCATTTTTTATTAACATGTTGTACTGGGAAAATCTGCTGTCAAAAACCTCTCCAAAGTGCAAAAGAGCAAAGATACAAGTTTCGAGAATAAGGAGTGTCTGATTCAAGCTATGTCATTTTAAATTGCCTTGTACGCAACTGAAAGTTGAACAATGACTAAGAAAGACTGATTAAAAATCAATGTCTTTGAATTGCAGTATTGGCAATGAGTATTGAATAACTTCGAAAGCAGGAGTGGCATCCACTTCCTAAACAACATGCCTCTGGAAGCCCTATGAACTTTGAGAAACAATGGTAGTTATAGAGAGGCTTCAAGTCTTTTGTTCATGTGGTCTCTATGCATCGTGCTCAACTCAATGGCAATCAACAGCAATGAATAACCCATACACTGCTAAAAGAGCAAACAAGTCTGTCTTGGAGGAAATGTAACCACGGTGATCCTTATAGGCAAGGATGGTGAAACTCTGTCTCACGTACTTTGGGCATGGTGTTTGGGGGATCAGCTCTTGTGAAAAGACATTATGCTAGGAAAGGTGGAGATTTATTTAGATAAAGAGAGGAGGACTCAACAAGATGGACTGACACTCACAGGGACTGACTTTGAACTCAAGCATGTAAAATCACCAGGATGGTGCAAGAGAGGACACATTTCAGATCTGTTGTTCACTACGATGGCTTCTAATATCACCAAGATTTATGTATTCCAGGCAACAATCAGCACACAATAAATAAAAATAAATAATGAAAAATCAATCTTGCACATAGAATGTACTCAATTACCTCTGAATTCCTTGGAAAGTGCTGCTGGCCATATCTATAATTCCACCAGTTGGACGAGCCACAGCACCTACAAGTCCCTTCCCAATTCCTTTAAAGAAACCAGCTGCTCCCTCCTTTTTGGCACCTTGAGAAAAACCAGAGATATGTAATGAATAAAAATATATTTTCAAATAAGCAGTTTTGAAACTGACAAATACTGAATAAATAAATAAATAGTGAACACTGGGAGAATCTTGGAGCTGACTTTTTAACAAAATTAAATTAAATGCTAATGTGATAAATTAGTAGCTCTCAATGCATGGTGCCTAATAGAGCTGCAAATTCCTCAGCCCATCTCAGACCTACTGATTCAGGAATTCTCTGGAAGCGACTAAGCACCTCTGTTTTTTAAAAAACTTTTCAGTTTTTAATGAAGTTGTATATAATAATATTTTACTCCTCCATCTTCTCAATTGTTTCTTCCTTGTATTTGCCCTTCCTTTTCCAACTTGGTGAGATCTGGCTTTACGTTCCAGGCTCTTTTTTCTGTCTTTGTCCAGTTTTAGCTCAGTGATAACCACCTTGCAGAGGTGAATGCCCACATGGACAGTTGTGCTGTTAGCTTTTCCTCTCTGCACCCGTTCAATGTAGATGACACATTTCTTCCTGTAAACCACTCCTGGTTTCCCCTTAATAGTCTCCCATACAAAGTCCCAGGCAACTAACCTGCTTTTAGTCTCTATGGATTTGTCTATTCTGGACTTTTCACAGAGTTATATACAACGTTATCATTTATGATTGACTTCTTAAAATTTTAGCATGTTTTCCAGGCTTGCCATTTAATAAAATGTACATACACTTCATTATTTAATAGATTAATAATATTTTATTGAGCATTGAGCTCTGGTGACAGTCTGTAGGCAGGGGTGCTGCTAGCTCAAATGCACTGGTCAGTTTACTCTTTTCTCCATCTCTCACAACGTTGCCTATTGGTCCACCTGTTTTTCTCTATGTCTCTAGAAACTCTGTGAACTTTGATAAATGTTGACAGTTGTAGAGGGGTTTCAGGCCTTTTATTCATAGGGTTGCAAGGAGTCATGCTCGACTCGAAGGCAAAAACAGCAACAACATGTGCAGGTGTAATTCATATGGGAAGCTGCATGGAGTCTTTAATCTTTAGTGACTGTTTTAAGTCCTCTTCACTTTCAGCAAACAAGGCTGTGTCACCTAAGTACTGCATGTTGTTGATCTGTCTTCCTATAATTCTGACACCACATTCTTCTTCACATAGTCCAGCTTCTCAAATTATTTGCTCAGCAAATACAGACTGGACAGATATGGTTAAAGGATACAAGCATGACGCACCCTTTTCTGATTTAAAACCACACAGAATCCCTGTATCTTGTTCAAATATTTGCATCCGGGTTTATGTACAGGTTTTGCATTAAGCACAATTAAGTGTTGGAATTCCCATTCATTGCAATGTTATCTATAATTAGATACAACCCACAAAGTCATACACCTTTAACATAATTAGTGAACAGCGAGTAAAATCTCTTTTAGTCCATAGGGAGTCCACTGCTACCCCCAAAGGGGGACCACTATGGTAGTCCAAGTCTCCCAGCAGCTCCACTAGAGATAGATGGACTATCTCTTACCCTGAGATGTACAGCCTCTGAAAACCTGTTAAAGGGTCAGGTATGAGCTGGCTCCAACCTGACATCAAGGAGTTTGAGGTTTTTTTTAAAATTTGACTGTTTCTTGTTTTTATCTAATAACCAATATAGATCCTCTTCTGAATCAGCTATAATTTTTTAGCAGCTCCTTATTGATGTACTCTTTATTTTTTCATTATCTTCATCAAAATTTTACTTGTTTGTGATATTAATGGGTTTTTTTTATTATTCTATCTTCATTCTATTGGATAACCTTTCTTTAGAATGGACACATATATGGATCACTTCCAATAAACTGTTGTTGTTGTTATGTGCCATTGAGTCACTTCTGACTCATAGCGACTCTATGTAAAACAACCCTAAACTCTGCTCTGTCTTGTGCCAATCGCACCGTCTCTGACAGACCCATCCCGATTATCCCAGTCACTGAATCAATCCACCTCATAGAGGGCCTTCCCCTCCTGCGCTGTTCCTCCACCCTCCCAAGCATGATGTCCCTCTCCAAGGACTGGTCCCTCCTTACAACATGTCCAAAGTATATTAGAGCCTCAGAATCCTTGCCTCCAAGGAGCCACCCGATTTAACCCCTTCCAGAATGAATCTGTTTGTTTTCCTAGCAGTCCATGGTACCCTCAATACTCTTCTCCAGCACCACAGCTCAAAGGCATCAATTCTCCTTCTATCCTCCTTAGTCATTGTCCAACTCTCTGATGCATAGCAAGTGATAGGAAAGACATTGGCCTGTATCAGACGCACCTTAGTCTCCAGAGAGACACCACTGCTCTTCAGTACTTTGGAGGGGTCCCTAACAGCAGACTTTCCCATGTACAATATGTACAATAAACTGTTTAGGTCTTTCAAATTTCTTTTCTACTTTGAAAATCTTTATTCAAAGTTATTCTAAAAATGAAATATATCATTATTTTAAATATATGCAAGTAAAGTTACATTTCAATTAAAAATGTATACACGTTATGAAATATAGATATTATATGTGACTCATGAACTGACATCTCTCTCTTGAAATTCAAATGCTTACCTGCTATGTCTAATGAAGAGGCTTTTACTTACTGCATGTAGAAGCTTCTGTAGAACATTCTTCTGCTTGTGGGGATCTCTATACTGCATTTATCTGTATCCTTGTGTTTTAGATGTTTTCAACAGAAAACAGCAGCTTGGATTAGATGCCATGTATTTTCTTTTCAGATGCAGCTGGTCAAACTCTTTCAAATTTCTTGGCATGCACAAATGAGTGCTTCCAGTGTTGCATCCCTTTGCTGAAACATCTTAATTACTATTCTATCAATTCCTGGAATCTTGGTTTTCAACAATGCCAGTGCTAGTTGAATTTATTCCTTCAATGCCATTAATTCTAAAATCACATATCAACTTTAGGAATGGGGGAACACTGACCACTTCTTTTTGGGACATTGACTATCCTCTTTCCACTTTCATGTCTAATTTCTGTGATATTCAACATTTTGCCTATACAATGCTTCACCATTGAAACATGAAGTCTGAATTTTTTTCCTTCAGTTCTTTCTGTTTAAAAATGCCATTCACATTCTTCTCTTTTGATTTTTTTAACTGGAGATCTTTTTATGTATTTCACAGTCATATTTTATCTTCTCATATTGTTCTTTGACTCTTCTGTACAGTCCTTTTACTTCACTATTTCTTCCATTTATTTAGCTTCCATTTGTTAAAGAGCAAGCCATAGAGTCTCTTCTAACATCCATTTTGGTCTTTTCTTTCTTCACTGGCTTTTTAATGACCTTTTGTTTTCTTTATGTATTATGTCCTCTCACTCCTTGTCTGGTCTTTGGTCATTCATTTTTAATGTACTTAAACCCATTTTTTAGAAGATTTTTACATTTTAAATAAAGGCTAAACACAAAATTGTACTGTGGCTTTTGTGGACTAATTATCATTTTCTTCAGGTTTAACTTCAACAGGCACATGATCAACTGATGGCACGTTCTACAGGTGGCCAGGGGCATGTTCTACAGGTGGCCCTGGCCTTGTCCTAACGAGTTATCTTTAGCTTCTCCAGCATCTCCTTCCACAGACTAAATCAACTTAATTACTGTTTATTCCATTTGATTAGGTCCACTTGTATAATTGCCATTAACATTATTGAAAAAAATATATTTGCAGAGTTAGGTGTTGGTCTTGTAAAATTTTTCTTGGTTCTTTTTCTTCCACCAAGGACATATTTCCCAACTATCAATCCTTTTTTGTTTCCAACATATGCATCCTAATCACTAATAATTATCGATATATTTTGGTTGCATACTTTATCAATTTCAGACTACTAAAATTAGTAAAAAAATGTCAATTTCTTTGACTAGTAGTTGGTGCATATATTTTAAAAATAAACTTATTAACTGGTCTTTCTTTTAAGCATATGAATATTATCATCTCACTCACCACCCTGTAGTTCAGAATATATACTTGTGGTGTCATATGTGGGAAGATTTTGGCTAATGCAGATTATAAAGAATTGCAACTGTATTTTCTTCTAAGAATTTTATACTTTTTGCCCTTAAATTTAGGTTCATAGTCCATTTTGTGTTGTTTTGGGAATAGTGGAGAAAAAGATCTAAGTTCAGTCTTTTACATGTAGATTCCAGCTGTCTCATGGGGAAAAGATGGGCAGTCTCCTGTGTGATTTGGAGTCTTGGAACCACAATTAAGGGTCAGATATGAGTTGGTTCTGATTTCACAAGCAAGGAGTTATGTTGAGTTCTTGACACAGATATCTCAGCATCACTTCCTGACTGAATTATCTCAACATCAATTGACTATATAAGTGAGGATGGATATATATGTGTATATGTATGTGTGTGTGTGTGTGTGTATAGTATACCATCAAGTCAGAACCAACCCTAGCTGACCGTCTGGTGGGTTTTCAGAGACAGTTAACGACACAGGAGAAGACTGCCCATCCTTTTCCTTCACAGCAGCTGGTGACCTCGAATCTCATGCCTTCGGGATTGCAGGGCAGCTTCTTGCCAGTAGGCCACCAGAGCTATATATATTAGAATCAGCTTAGAAGCTTCTGCAAAGAAGAGAGCTTGAGTTTTGCAAGAAATTACAATGAATAACAGACTGCTTTTTTAGTAGATTAAAAAAGCAGTTGATCATTAGTGAGGCTCTAAAACAAGGTAAGATATATGATAGATAGATAGATAGATGGATGATAGGTAGATCTCTGCTGAATAAATCATTCAAAATTTAAATTACTAGTCTCTCCACTTTCTAAGTATATTCATTAAATAATAATTTGAAATTATGAATGTAAATCAGTAATTCTCTCAATCAAAAGTCTAGTAGCAATAGCATGTATTATGCTCACCATGTATAAACCCTTCAGACTGACACAGAAAGGAAATATTTTCAGCCTACCTTCTACAGGTTTTGTGATTATTCCAGTCACTCCACCAACAACTCCCTGAAAGAAAGAAATGGTCAATTTCTGGCCCTAATAGAAGGTGCTTAATTTTAAATCAACCACTAGAGGACTCTACATACACACTGGAAATACTTTAGGAAGCGAAAAATAATGAGTACTTCATAAGCTGTACAAAATATATAGTGACTTTAAAAACGTTATACCATAGTACATTCTAAATGAAATTTCCTTGTAGGCATGAGATAATTTTATATAAGAACAAATAATAAAGTAAGTGAAAAAATTATAAATCTGGTTTGGGTACCATGAGCTAGGGAACGATGAGCATTTGACTCCTTAAATCTTTATGTTTTGGATTTCACAATAGTAAATTAAATAAATTAAGAAAAATAATCACTGAAATTTTATATCCAATTTTAATGAGGTTACTTTGTAACTTGGTGCTAGTGTAAAAAGTGAAAATGAAGGATCCTCCAAAGAATTGTAAATTATTACCTTACAAAGAAAGCACTTGAGAGTACACAGAATATAGTATTAACAAATATCGTCACAATTAGTTTATGGAAATTGTTCTCAAATTTAAAACATTAACATAAGCTTTATACATTTTTAATAACTGTCAAGTGTGGTGGTGTGGTTGCTGTACGCTGTTGAGTTGAAATGGACCCAGAGCTGACTCTCCAGTGGGTTTACAGAGGCAGTAAATCACACGGAAGCAGACTGCCCATCTTTGTCCCACGGAGCACCTGGTGGATTCGAACTGTGTACCTATAGGACTGCAGCTTCTTACTACTGGGCTACCAGTGCTCCCTAGTAATGGCAGTATAAAACTTTCTATAGACATGTATATAGAAAGGAAATGGAAAGATAAGACTCTGTGGGAAGAGAAATAGTAACCAAAAAGTATTCTAGTCTTATTTATAATGCTTAAATTACTTATAAGGAGAACATGGTTCATACATCACTTGAAATATTTTTAATGTAATGAAAGGTAGTGCTTAGTTTGTCAGTACATCCCTTCCACTGTTGTTGCTATATGCCAAGTTGAAACTCATCCATACTGACCCTCTAGTGGTTTTCGGAGACAATAAATCCATGGGAGGAGACTGCCCATCCTTCTGTGGAGCACCTGGTGGATTTGCAGCTTCTTACAACTGAGGCCACCAGGGCTCCCTACTACTGATGATGGTGTCTTGATGATGAACTCTTCCTCCCTCTAGTTACAACCATTTGCCACATTTGCCTCTAGTGTTAACCTGCTATCATTGTATTTTCACTCTAATCCAAATGCCAAAGTCTGGGATTTAGAAGAAAGATAATGAATGGTGCTGACAGTGAGAATTGGAGCCAAAAAGTTACTAGGAAAGTCCACAGTTTATCACTACTGCTTCTCTAACAGAACTAGGCTCTCAAATAGTAGTTAAAATTTCACACAGCTAACTAGAATGCATACAGAAGACACAGAAGTTGAGAATTTCTTGAAGATTCACCAGAGACTTACCCTCAGGAAGCCCTTTCCTCCTCTGGCCAAGCTGTCTCCAAAATCTTTAGGCTGCCGACCCATTTCTTCTCTTCTTTTCTGTTGATATTCCTTGTCCATTGTAATTGCTGCCAAACCTTTTCCAACAGACCCAGTGATGCGAGAGACAACTCCTGCTGCACCACCTAGCCAGAGGCCCAGGGAAGTTAAACCACGTGTTCCTTCTAAAGAAGGTTATCACAATTGTTGCACAGATGGAACTACTTTACATTAATGTTGGTGCTACTGCTGGCGGACTCTGCCACCAAGCATATTCTAACTGGGAATGACCATTTATGGGGCCAGAGCTTTTGCTTTAAACTAATAAATATGCTTAAAACAAAAATTTAATTTTTCTATTTCCCACTAATCAAGATATGAATCTATTTAAGAAGGGCCATGACTCAATTCTACCCAGACATAAAAGTAAAACCAGGGAGGAGTCTGTGTTATTTTCTATTTACAAAAAGAACATGTCTTTTACAAATGATTATGAGACTAGTCTCTCGTTTATTAAATATGAGTATTTGTTTTTCAGGAATTACATATTTTGTAATAATGATTATAAAACCCACATGCACACACATATGTGATACAAACCTACTGTGTGTCCAAACAGGCTTCTTACTCCAATCACTAAGCCCTCAGCAAATTCTTCTGGACCCTGAACAGCACCCTGATATTAAAAAAATTAATAAATAAACACATAAAAGAAGAAATTTTCTACTTAAAGTTCAAACAAGTATCAGGGCTTTTAATTAGCAATAGTAAACAAAAACTTCTTTAATAAGTAATAAGACTTTTAAATTAATATTAGTGTTTCCACTAACACTAAGGATGAAGAATTTTTAAAAACAACTTTCACCTTTTACTCCAAAAAGTACTGTAAATAGCTATCTATTACACTGAAAACATTTTCAAATCCCCTGAGTTCAGCAAATTCAAACTCAGAAGGAAAAAAATGTGTAGAAGAATATCACTGGCTCCAGTCACAATTTAGAGTTGACCTCCCAACACCAAAAAAACCCTCTGACTTATAAACTCCACTGGTAGCAAAGTTGAGAGAGCAAGCTCAGCCGCATATTTTTGGCACTTTTGCTTTCCCATTTATTTTCTTTTCCTTCCAAAACCCTCACCACTTTGGGCATGGGTCTTTAAATCAAACTTGAGTAGAAGACAGAGTCATCTTCTAACACTATTAACATATTACCACTATTTTCCAAGTGGTAAAATGGTCTTAAAATTGCCTTCCTCTATCTATCTAGATCTCAAATGTCCTTACAACTGCATTAAATCCTGGCAAGCACGGGCATCTCTACTACTTGTTGTTATTGTTGCTGTGTGCCACTGAGTCATAACTGACTCCTAGCTGACCCTCCAGAGGGTTCTCAGAAGCAGTAAATCACAAGAGTGGAGAATGCCCATCTTCCACAGAGCAGCTGGTCACTGTGAACCACATGCGAGCAGCTGGTCACTGTGAACCACATGCTTTTGGGATTACAGTGCAACTTCTACCACTAGGCCACCAGAACTCCCTTTGGATATTTCAATTCTAGAACAATTTTTCAGTGTCATATCAAGGCTTTTTAAATAAAAAATACAAAACTTACAGAGTTTTGTTATTTGGACATTGTTAAATTTTCAGATATAATTAAAATACATATTTTCACTAAGCTGTCAAGAAATTAAAAATTCACTTTTTTATCCTTAGGCTTAAAATTTTTTAAGAAAAAAATACCTGGAAGGGTTCATAGAAGAAAGCTTCAACTCCTTCAGACAAACCTCTAATCAATCCAAATGGGTTTCCAAGCACATCCAAACCCAACACAAGAACGTACATCTGTTTCAAGAACTAAAGAAAAAAAAAAGTAAATTAAGTCTTGTACAACCATTCCAAGACGTAATATGAAAAATATAGGGGAAAATGGGAGATTATCAATTAAATTTGGTATATGCCAAAAAGATGAAGTAATCAGACTTATGTCCATTAATTGATCTTTTACTAAATGCCAGGCACTCTGATAGTAATTTATTTGGTCTGAGGCACAGGTCTGCCATTTATCAGTTATGAGACCTTTGAAATGTCACTTAGCTTTATAGACCTTTGTTTTCTCAACTATAAAATAAGAATTCCTGTTGACCTTGTATGACTTAATATGCATACTGGGTAAAATACATAATTCAGTAATTGTTACTATTATCTCATCATCGCTGTAACTATTGAAATAGGTGGTGAATGATTAGAGACCAAAACAAAAAAAAAAAGTGAAAATACATCTTTATTTGAAATATAATAACCACATTGTCTATACACATCATACAAGAAAGAGCTTTCATCAAAGGAAGAATAGACACTGTCGTACTGGACGTCCCAGGTATAGTAATGACAAGAAGCCTTTAATGACTATGTGCCTTCATGTGACATCTGAGGCAGGAGGAAACCGGCACAGGTTTTCTCTCACAATTCCAGTAGACTAAGCAAGTATAGTCTCTGAAGAAATGAAATTCAATGAACCCTAGGCTATTATTTTTTCCAAAAAATTGTCACTGTATAATCACAAATGGAAAAAAGAAGAGGAAACTTTAAAAAAGATGTACAGAGGAAATAAAGATTAAAGAAATGAAAGTCACTCAAGAAAACTACTACTAATCAATTGTTAATTACACATTATTACATACTATATAATATCATATATTTTGTTTTGTTATTATATCATGCACACTATTTATGACTCATAATAGGAAATTACCTGTTCACTATAATGTCTAACAACACTCTGAATGAGCTGATCTCTCTTGTAAAACTGATACCGAATTTCATAATAACCAAGTCTGAAAGGAAGAAAAAAAGAAAAATTCAACTGTTTAAAAACATTTGTATGTCTTTTCTATGCAACATTATCCATAAGGATCTATCTTATAGAAAATTCTATATAACCCTTTTTAATGACTGTGTATCATTCTTCCATGTGGCTATATTCCTCTAATGTTATGTGCCAATAAGTTGCAGGCAGCTTACAGTGCCTCCATGTGCAATAAACCTGAACACTGCTCCAAACTGGGCCATTCTCACTGCTTCTGACAGACCTATCCCAGCTACTGTGTCAATCCATCTCAGTCAATCCTCTGTTAGACATTCCCAATTTTCTGTATAATTAAATTATCCATATGAGTCTTTTGCATTTCAAGATTGTGTGGACTGAATTAAAATAAAAATTTCTGAAAGACTACAAAAAAGAGACTTACGGTTTTATTACATTTCACTTAATCAGAATAATAAAAAGAGGAAGTATTCTATTTCTAAAACTCATACCTCTAAAAACAGAGCTGTTTATATCTGGAAATATCTGGTAATTTGTAGGCATTATTTGGTAAGTTAAAAAGGTAAGTGATTATAAATATCTATTATCCACTGTATTTTTTCTTTTGTAAATTTCTTATTGTCTTTGGACCATTATATTGTTTATTTTGGGTCTTTTTATATTCAATATACTGTTAATGGAATCTACAGTGGTAAATACTCTGCATTGTGACCATTATACTGTTGAAGGAATTTTCAGGTTTTTCTTATTAATTTTTAGTAAAACAAATGAGTCCTTCTCTACCTTGTTATTTTATTCTTCCAGTCATTTGTTTTATAATTTATTTCAATGATGTTTTTCTTAAAAATGAATAATTTTATGTACTCTGTTATATTTTCCCATTCCTTTTAAATCTAAAAAGATTTCCTCTATTTGTTGTTGTTGTTGTTATGTGCCATTGAGTCGTTTCCAACTCATAGCGACTTTATATACAAGAGCTCTAAACACAGTTCTATCCTGTGCCAACCTAGCCATCTCAAACGCACTTATTCCCACGGCTCCAGTCACAGAATCGATCCATTTCATCAAAGGTCTTCCTCTTCTTCGCTGCCCCTCCACTCTGCGAAACATGATGTCCCTCTCCAAGGAGCATTCCAGCTTCACCTTCTCTAGGACAAACCTGTTTGTTCTCCTAGCAGTCCATGGTATATTCAATACTCTTCTCCAGCACCACAGCTCAAAGGCATCAATTCTCTTTCTATCAACCCTATTCACTGTCCAACTCTCTGATGCATAGCACATAACTGCGAAGACGATAGCCCGGATCAGGCGCACCTTAGTCTTCAGCCTGATATCATTGCTCTTCAGTACTCTTGAGAGGTCCCTCACAGCCGACTTTCCCAATGTAATTTGTCTCCTGATTTCCTGGATGCTGTTACCAAGAGATTGTGGAGCCAAGCAAACTAAAACTGTTAACTATCTCAATCTCTTCACCATCCATACTGATGCTGCCAATTGGCCCAGTGGTGAGAATCTTTGTTTTCTTGATGTTGAGCTTCAATCCATATAGGAGGCAGCAGTCCTTGACCTTCTGCAGCAAGCGCTTCAGGTCCTCCTCAGTTTCAGCAAGCAGGGTGTGTCATCTGCATAAACGCAGGTTGTTGATGACTCTTCCACCAATCCTGATGCCACATTTCTCTTTGTACAGCCTAGCATCTCGGATGATCTGTTCTGCATACAGATTGAAAAGGTATGAAGACAGAGTACATCCCTGATAGACCCCCTTCTTGTTTTGAACCATGTAGTATCTCCTTGCTCTGTTCTGACGACTGCCTCTTGGTCCAAGTATAGGTTTCACATTAGCACGATCAAATGTTCTGGTATTCCCATTCTTCTCAGAGTCAGCCATAGCTTGTTGTGATCCACACAGTCAAAAGCCTCTGCATAGTCAATGAAGCACAGATAGACATTCTTCTGGTATTCTTTGCTTTCTGTCAAGATCCATCTAACATTAGCTATAATATCCCTAGTACCACAACCTCTTCTAAATCCAGTCTGTACATCTGGCAGTTCTCTGTTGACATATTGTTCCAAACGTTTTTGGATAATTTTCAGCAGAATCTTGCTTGCATATGATATTAATAATATTGTTCAATAATTTACGCACTCTGTTGGGTCACCTTTCCTTGGAGTGGGAACAAATACCGATCTTTTCCAGTCAGTGGGCCAGCTGGTTGTTCTCCAGATTTCTTGGCACGACTTAGTGAGCACATCCAGGGCAGTGTCTTTCTATCGAAATATGTCAATTGATATGCCGCCAATTCCTGGAGCCTTGTTTTTTGCCAATTCCTTCAGAGCAATTTGAACTTCCTCCTTCATCACCATAGGCTCTTGCTCATATGTCATTTCATGAAATTCTTCTTTGTCAGCCAATTCCTTCTAAAACAGTGACTCTGTGTAGTCCTTCCATCTTCCCTTGATACTTCCTGGATAATTTAACATTCTACCCAAAGTATCCTTAAATAGTGCCACCTGTGGCTTGAATTTGTTTTCAGCTCCTTCAGCTTAAGAAACACTGAGCGAGTTCGGCCCTTTTGATTTTCTGATTCCAGCTCTCTGCACAATTCATTATAGTATCTTGCTTTGTCATCCTGGGCTGCCTTTTGAAATTTTCTATTTCACTCTTTGATTTCTTGGTTTCTTCCTTCAGCTTTGGCTTCTCGGCGCTCTAATGCAATATTCAGAGTCTCTTCTGACATCCATCTTGGTCTTTTCTTCTTTTTCAGCCTTTGTAATGATCTTTTGCATTCTTCATGGACAATTTTCTTGATATCCTCCCAGAGCTCATTTGGCCTATGCTCATTGGTGCTCAAGGCCTCAAACTTGTTCCTGAGATGGTTTTGAAATTTGAGTGGGATAGGCTTAAGATCAAATTTGGGTTCCCGTGGACTTTATTTAATTTTCCCCAACTTCAGCCTGAACTTGCCTATGAGTAGTTGGAGGTCTGTCCCACAATCAGCACCAGGCCTGGTTTCAACTGCTGATACTGAGCTTCTCCACTGAGCCTTCCACAAATGCAATCTTTTTTTTTTCCTATGCATGCCATCAGGTGAGATCAATGCTATCACTGGGCAACTGTCTTTCATCTGCTCTTTTCTGTGGAATGCTTGTCTGTCAGATACTATTATATATATTTAAAGATTGAGACAGACTAGGGAGAAGGATTGGCCATCCACTTCTGAAAAAACAGGCCTTCGAAAATCCTATGTACAACAGAGCACACTTAGACTATCACTTGGACTAGCAGACATGGCAATTGAGACTGAGATCTTAGAAACGGAAATACAGAGATGAAGGAACAGCTATAAGCAGACACTAGTGATTGGCACGTGGAACGTGAGAAGCATGAATGTAGGAAAATGGGACATTGTTAAGAAAGAAATGGAACGCATATATATTGACATACTAGGTATTGGCGAAATTAGATGGCTTGGCATGGGACATTCTGAATCAGACAATTATATGATTTACTATGCCAGGGATGAAAAGGTGATGAATGGGTTGGTTTCATAACTAAGAAAGTCATTTCTAGATCGATCCTGAAATATAATGTGGTGAGCGACAGGATAATATCCATATGCATACAACGAAGTCCAGTGAATACCACTATCATTCAAATATATGCACGAACAACTAGAGCCAAAGAGGAAGAAACAAGATTTCTACCAACTTTTGCAGTCAGAAGTTGATCAAACATGCAATCAAGATGCACTGATAATAATGGGCAACTGGAACGCAAAAGTTGGGAACAGGGAAGAAGGATCAGTAGCTGGAAAATATGGGCTAAGTAGAGAAATGCGGTTGGAGATAGAATGATAGGGTTCTGCACATTCAATGATTTATTCATCACTGCAAATACCTTCTATATGAAACATAAATGCAGGCTATTCACATGGATCTCACGTAATGACATGCATAAGAATCAAATAGATTCCTCTATTTAGAGATGATTATTTTTTTCACTTTTTCAGTCCTTAATTTTTCTGAAATTTGGCACTTTACATGTGAAATAAGTAATAATCTAAATGGATTATTTTCTCTCCTAAGCAAGTATTTGTTCCAAAATTCAATAAATATTCATTGAATTAAAAATTATTCGGCACATGTAAGTACTGTCATACTACATGTACTAATGAGTTCTTATTCTCTATACTCTGACACATGATCATGCTGAAATGTCACATATCCTCTCATATATTTCTAAATATAGCAGTTTCAAAACATGATCTCAATTTATAAAATAAAAGAATTAAATTTTCCCTTTTATTATAATGCAATCTTTTGTTGTTGTTATGGGCCGTGGTGTCACCTGCGACTCATAGCAAACCTATGTACAACAGCCCTAAATCCTGCTCTATCCTGTGCCAATCTTATTGTCTCTGACATACCTATCCCCATTACCCCAATCACTCAATCAATCCATTTCATTGATGGCCTTCCTCTCTTGCACTGTCCCTCCACCCTCCCAAGCATGACGTTCCTCTCCAAGAACTTGCAATATATCCAAAGTATGTCAGACAAAGATTCAGAATCCTTGCCTCCAAAGAGCAGCCTGGTCTCACCTCCTCTAAGACAAACTTATTTGTTCTCCTAGCAAGTCCATGGTATATTGAACACTCTTACCCGGCACCACATTTCAAAGGCATCAATTCTTCTTCTATCATCCTTAGTCATTGTCCAGCTCTCTGATGCATAGCAAGTAAATGAAAAGACTATGGCCTGGATCAGGTGCACCTGAGTCTCCAGACTGAAAGCACTGCTCTTTAGTACTCTGGAGAGGTCTCTGACAACAGACTTTCCCAGCCCAATACATCTTTTAATTTCCTGGCTGCTGCTGCCAAGAGTGTTAATTGTGGAGCCAAGCAAACTAAAGCTGTTTACAATCTCAATCTCTTCACCATCCATCCTGATGTTGCCAATTGGTCCAGTGGTGAGAATCATTGTTTTCTTAATATTGAGCTTCAATTCATATTGAAGGCTGCAGTCCTTGACCTTCTGCAGCAAGTGCTTCAGGTCCTCCTCAGTTTCAGAACCAGGGTTGTATTATCTACATAATGCAGATTGTTGATGAATCTTCCACCAATCTTTGGGCTGCTCAAAGAGCCAGCCTTCCAGATAATGTTCTGCATATAGATTGAAAAGGCATGGAGATAGGCCACATCCCTGGCGTACATCCTTCCTAATTTTGAACCATGCAATGTTTCCTTGCTCTGTTCTGACTACTGCCTCCTGGTCCAATTGAACCATGTAATGTTTCTTTGCTCTGTTCTGACAAGTGTCTCCTGGCCCAAGTACAGGTTTTGCATAAGCATAATCAAGCGTTCTGGGATTCCCATTCTTCTCAGAGTCAGCCACAGTTTGTTGTGAAACACATAGTCAAACGCCTTTGCATAGAAACAGACAATCAAAAAACCCCTTAATAACTTTTGACCTTATTTTCATGAATAAAATAACTCCAGCATATAATTAGAAGGAGATCAAATTTCCCAACCATTAATGGATTATTATTTAACTAAACTAACATTCTAACACAAAAGGAGAAAATATCCAGAAATACAAACTTGACATAAATGCCTCCCATGTGTTTAAACACAATTCTTACTTAAATATAAGGTCATCCACATCTGTCAAAGTAGCACCTATGCTTTTTAACAGCAGGTTAACAGAATGAATTGCAATCATTTCTTGTTTTTCTTTGTCTGATTCTTCACCTCCAGAACCCAATGACAGACTCAGATGCAACTAGAAGAAAATAATTATCAGTGAAAAATGCTAAAATACATAAACATCCAGAAAACAGAATTTTTTACTATTAACTTGGAATGTATAGACTATTAAGACCCATTACACAGACTAACTTACTGATAATCTGATTATCATGTTTACTTTTTCATAAAATACAAATTATTCTGTTTCAAAAATAGAGTTATCTTTTACTGAAAGTGTATATATGCTACTGGTTTCATGAATAAAGAACTTCATAAACATGGCATAACTATTTTAAGAAGAAAAACATCACCTGGCATATAAGTATTCTGTCATTCAAAATAAGAGATTCTTCATTTTCATCCAATTAAGCTGTTCATTTATGGCAAATACTAAATTGACGAATACATTTTATAAATTAATAATAAGGTTTTAGGACTATTCAATATCTCTTCTTCAAATGTAAATTTTTATATTTCCATTTAGCTGCTTCTTTATGCTATATAATCATTAGTCAAACGGTAAAAAGAGGCACAGGCAAAATGTACTCTGACATGTAGAAACAAAAGAGATAACTCTCCTGTCTCAGTTAATCATTCCCTGAACATCTTATCTGATTTAGCTCCAGTAGAACAGAGTTAGAGCAAACAGGGAAGTCTGCTTTAACATGGACTTTTGTCTACCTATAAAGTCAGGGAGTCCTGAGATCCTAAAATGGCAAGCTCAAGTGGACAGAGAAACAAACCTTCTCCTGATGAGCAGCTAGAAGATTCAAAGCACCTGCCTTTGGGTTGGCAACATAACTCCTTACTAGTTTCAGAGCTCCTGATACTTAATATCACCAAACAGATCAATTCAAAATAATTATATTTCATAAATTTATTCTTTATCCAAATGGACTGGTAAATAGTTTTGGCAAATGTAAAGGATCATTATTTGTTATATGGCCTTTACACAAAATTCAGAGCATTATAGTTGGCAGCATTTGTGAATTCACTAAACCATCATGTTCTACTATAACAGCTAAGAATAACAAAAGGAGAGAAGGAAACAGGTTCATAAAGCACAAAAAGCAGGCAGTGAGAGGTATCCAATTTTCCACTCTCTTAGCTACATTTAAATTTTGGGAGAGAGAAAAACACCTCATCAACAGTATAATACCTACTTCAGCATTTTCACATTCTGGCTAAGGCATTCATTACAAGATTCTGTTTAGACAGTGATAGTACTTACAAAGTGCAGCTGAAACATTAAACATTGGTGGGCACTTCTACGCTTAATTAAGAAAGAAATGCTTTTGTCAGCTTCTTCCCTGAACAAAGAGGTTATTAATTCAAGACTAGAGAACACACGCTGGTGGTTTCTCTGTGGGAATTATGGCTGTACATATGTTAGAGCCAATTGTCTTAATGATTTTCATTAATCAAACTACATTCCTGCCAAATATTTGATGTAACAAATGAAAGCCGGTGTATCTACACAAATCCTTCACAAGTTTTATAACAGTTATGCCAAATTTTAAATATAATCATTACAACAAACCTTAACAGGAGAAATATGGAAATGTTCAAAGAAACTAAGAATCGACATATCAGTCATTGACGTCTCCATTAACTCTGTGTTTAGAGCATCAATATCTTGTTGGATTAACTTCGTCTGAAAAAAATTAAACCAAGACTTTCTATGTTAATTTGTTTTCTCTATAACAGTTAGCTAAATAAATTATAAGATTAACTTTCAAAAAATTTTATGATTATGCCAAAAAGGAAAATTGTTACCCGGTTTCTTTCTGCTTCAGGGTCAGTTGCTGGGGTAAAGAGGGCAACAAGAGCTCCAAGAAACCCTTGATCAACTTTCAAGGCCATTTCCTGAATGAGGACCATAAAATACCTAAGGAAAAATAATAAATTCAGACAAAATTTCTAGAAACCTTTATAAGTTTCAATGACAAAATTCTCCTTTTAGTCAAAAGTTACAGGAAGATCTTGTTCCTTCATTTCCTAAAAAATGTCATATTAATAATACCAAAGTTTAAAAGTTGTTCGTAGGATTGCTGTAATTCATAGCTGACTCCATGGCACCTAACAACAACAAAGTCTAAAGAAACTGAAACATATATCCAGTTTCACTAGAAGGAGCACTGCTTATTACCACTTAGAACATGAAGCTCTACCTGTTCAAAGTCATCACGCCACAGAAAAGGATACAGGATCACGGCTAGGGGATGTTGTTAGCTGCCATCAAGTGGATGACCCATAGTAACGCAGTGAGCAACAGGTCAAAACCACTGCTATCCTCACAATCACTCAAGCCTCGTGTTGCTGTCACCATGTCAATCCACTCTTTGGAGGGTCTTCCTCTCTTTTGTTGACCCTCCACTTTTCCAAACACGATGTCTATTTCCAAGGGCTAGCCCTTCCTGATCATATGCCAAAAAAATGTGAGCCCAAGTTTCATAATCCTTGCTCTAAGCTGCCACCCTGGTTGTACTTCCTCAAAGACAGATTAATTTTTTCAGCTATCTATGGTATATATAGATACATATACACACAGGAAACTCTGGTGGCCTAGTGGTAAGAATGTATGCTGCAATCCCTGAGGTACTTAGTTTGAATCCACCAGCTGCTCAGAGTGAGAAGGATGTGCAATCTCCTCTCCAGTACTTAACTGCCTCTTAAAAAATGCTGGAGAGTCGGCTATGGGTCAGTCCTGACTCAACTGTACAGAATAGCAACATGGCATATCTGATATGTGTGTGTGTATACATGTATATATAAATAAGTAAGTATTGTGTGTGTGTGTGTGTATGAACACACACACACACATATAGGAGTGGCATCCACTTCCTAAACAATATAACTCTGGAAACCCTATGAACTTTGATAAATGGCAAAAGTTATAGGAAGGCTTCAGGCCTTTTGTTCATAGTGTCACCATGAGTTGTGTTTTACTTGATGGTAAACAACAACAGTGTGTGTGTGTGTGTGTGTGTGTGTGTGTATACACACAAACTCAAAACTGTTCACAAACATCACAATTCAAAGGCATCAATTCTCCTTTTGTCTTCCCTATCAACTTGTTTGCTCAGGTCAAGTGCACCTTTGTCTTTAAGGAGAGATATTTACTCTTCAGCAGTTACAAGAGTTCCTTAACAGTAGATTTGTCCAATGCAACAGGCCTTTTGATTTCTTGACTGCTGTTACCACAGCTGTTGATTGCGGATCCAAGTAAAATGAAATCACTGAGAACCTCAATCTTTTCTTCTCTATCATGATATTGCCTACTGGTCCAGTGGTAAGGAATTTTGTTTCTTGGTACTGAAGTGTCATCCACATTATAAAGGCTATAGTCACTGATGTTCTTCAGTAAAGGCTTCAAGTACTTTCTACTTTGTACAAGCATGTGCTATTCAAGTTTTAAAGCCCACAAATGCTTTAAAGAACATAGCTCACAAATGTTATTGTTATTGTGTAGCTCGCAAATGTTGGTAATTGTTGTGTACAACTAAATTGGAATCAACTCATAGCTGACCCTTTAGCACGTTTTCAGAGACAGTAAATTACATGGGAGGAGAATACCCACTTCCTCCTGAGGAGCCATAGTTGTTATTGTCATTGTTAGTTGCTATCAAGTACGAGTCATAGTGACCCTATGAACAAAAGATCTGAACCCTATTCTATACTGTGCCATCCTCACACTTCCTGACACACAAGAGCCCATTGCAGCAGTCACCATGTAAATTTGCCTTGTTGACCTTTCCTGGCATCATGTCCATCTGCAAGGAATAGCCCCTTCTAGCAACATGCCCAAAGTATGTGAGGTGAAGCTTCATCATTCTTGTTTCCAAAGAGCATTCCAGCTGCATTCTCTTCAGGAAGTATGTTTGTTCTTTTGGCTGTTCACAGGATGTTCAGTGCTCTTCTCCAACACCACAGCTCAAAGGCATCAATTCTTCTTTTATCCTTATTCATTGTCCAGCTCTCAGATGCATAGCAAATGATCAGAAAGATTATTACCTAAATCAGACACACCTTAGTCCTCAAACTGACATCATTCCTCCTCAATAATTTGGAGAAGTCCCTAACTGCGGATATTCCTAGTGCAATGCATCTCCTTATTTCCTGATTGCTGGTACCAAGGGTATTAATTGTGGATCCAAGAAAGATGAAGCTGTTGATAGTTTCAATTACCTTTCCATCTATCATAATATTGCCTATTGATCCAGTAATAAGGATGGTTTTTCTTGACATCCATACTGAAGGGTGCATATCCTGATCTTCTGCAACAAGTGCTTCAAGTCCTCTTCACTTTCAGCAAGCAAGATCGTGTCATCTGCATAATGTAGGTTATTGATGAGTCTCTCTCCAATCTTGATTCCTGATCTCCAGGTTGGAGCCTCCTGTGTGAAGCAGTTAGATTCTGGAAGGTAGGTTGTTTTAATTCAATTGAAAGTCAGGTATAAACTATTTGGTCATTTTTTATGCAATTGGATGTCTTTCCTAACTGGGTCCACAAAGTGGAGAGAGTAACTGAAGGAATCTTATACTGTAAATTATGTAGAGACTATTACTATAGTAAAAGATGCATGTGGTTAATAGTCTAAAACTTACACATTGGACTGTTAATTTAATGGTTCTGCAGTTCAAATCCAACTGCTGCTCCAAAAGAGAAAAGTGAAACCATCTTTTCTCTATAAAGTTTTATAGCTTCAGAAACTCAATGGAGTCTCAGGCCATACCACCCTGAATCTGTCTGATCTCACCAGAAATTCAATGGAGGAAAATGTGGAATTGGAACCAATTCAATGGTGTTGTTATTGTCCGGCGTCGTCGAGTTGAGCAAGACTCATAGCAACCTTATGAACAACAGATCTGAACTTTGCCTTATGCTTTGCCATCTTCAACATGTTTGACACACTTCAGCCTCTTGCTACAGTCGCTATGTAAATCTATCTCATTGAGAGCCTTCCTCTTAATGACAGAGGTTTGTTTTCATTGTCATTGAAGTAAGTTCAAATGTAAAAGAACTAGTACTTGATCAATAATGGATTAATACATTTTGGTGTAAAGTATTTTTCTATAAAAGTCACCTCCTTAAAGGTTTACATTTATTTTCAAAGTAAATTACCAATTAGATAAAAAGGGATAGCTTTACTTACTTGAATTGTAAGACTTTACTGAATTCATTAAATCTTGTGATGACACTCACATCAATGAAAGGTTTGGGCTCTAACAGGAAGAAAGAAAAACTCAATCAAGTTTTGTAATAGACCAAAACAGTGTTTTTTTAAATTTTAGAACAGGATATATATCACAATTGAGTTTTCTTTATTTCCTACTTTTTTACCTGAATCCAAAGCAATAGATTTTGGAGGGGCCACAGGATGAAATATAACTGGGAACATTGTACCTGGCAACTGATTATCAACCTTAAAGAAAAGAAAAACTAATTTAGCAGTATTTAAATAATTTATACTTAATCATTTAGTTACCAAGACAATATTTTACAAGAAGCCAACAGCTTTAACATAAATATATGTCTGCATGTGTACGTTATTCTACTAAAAGCTTTGCTTTAAATCTGTAAAGATTTTTATACCTCCTAGCAAGAACAGACTTGAAAAAATTAATGCATAAATACTTTTATAAATGTAGCTAGGATCACTTGGGATTTTTAACCCTCTAAAAATTAAACAAAAAGGAAAAAAAACTGGCTGTGAGATTTTAGGATAAGTAGGGGGAAAAATAGAATAAAACTACGCTAAATACCACTTATTCATGACAAGTAAGGACAGAAGGAAGGGAAGGAAGACAGAAGGAAGGACGGAAGGACGGAAGGAAGGAAGGAAGGAAGGGAGGGAGGGAGGGAGGGAGGGAAGAACAAATGAAAGCTTTACTAAAGGAAGTTTTGGTCAATGCTGTGAAGAAAAGGATTCCTCTCACCTCCCCAGAAAAATCTATGCCATCTTCTTTTAGGATTCTTTGACAAATTCAAAGGACTCCTAAAGTAATTCTAGCTATCTATTTAATTAAAGATAACAGTGTTACCTGAAGCCAAAATAGCCTGGCCCTTAAACTTCTCTGGTGAGGAGACTGCTTCAATTCAATCTGAATTCCTGATAAAAAGTCTCGTTTAATAGGGCACTGAATAGGGAGGCGCATTTCCATTGGAACTTTATCAAAATTCACCTGGAATACAAAAGCACATGTCTTTCTAATGAGATGATATTACCAATGTAGCTACTCCACTAAAAATATCCTTTTACTTTTCTTTACAAGGAGAAATATCTTTAAATTTGAACCAAAGTGGTATCCCAAGAAGATCAATAGTTGGGACCTTACTAGCATGAACACATCACTCTTCTACAAATGTTATGAGGAAAATAACTGAGAGTAAATTTAATTAAGAAAAAAATTCGATTCATCATTTTAAAAAAAATACTTCAATAACAGATTACTGTTAAACAAATTTTGAGTCACTCTAAGTCAGAATGGACTTGTCAACATACAAAAAAACCCCAATAGTTTATTTTTGCCTAATACTGATTTGGGAAGCAGGAGGGTTTTTTTTAACCTTTTTTTTTTATCATATGTACATGACCAACATTTATAGTGATGAAAAGGGGACAAGAAAAGTACTAGTGATCATTACAGTATCAACCAACAGAGATTACAACTGTATGGTAAGTGATAAACTAGAAATTGTAGTCACATTTGTGGGCCCTAATCAGAACAAAGATGACTTTTGTTTTACATTTGTAAGCCTCTAAATAGAGTCTATAATTCCTGTGGACACCATCTCACAACAAATCATCATTCAGCCTTAATAAATTCAATTGAGTAAGGTTTGTACAGATTTTTAACCACTGAAAGATTATCCTTTTACATAAGCTAATAATTCAAAATATAAAAGGTTATAATAAGTAACTTTTATGTCTCAATACAGGGAGCTCTGGTGTTCTAGTGGTAAGAGGTTGTGCTGTAATCCCAAAGGTGTGTCGTTCAAATCCACCAGCTGCTCCCAGGAGAATGGACAATCTCCTCCTGTGAGATTTACTATCTCTGAAAACCCCCTGTAGGGTGAGTTAAGGGTTGGTTCCAATTCAATGGAACATAACAAAAACAACAGTAATTCTAATTAATAAATAAAGGTTTCACTACAAATAAATGAGTTTCTGAGCACATATTTTACTTGGACATTAAAATTTTATTTCCTTATTACCAACAAAATACACCTATGAAAGAGAAAACTAAGTTTGACATACCTCAAAATTATTGTCTAGTTTAATCCAGCCATGGTCTCCTGATTGCTGGTATTTCCGATAGGCTTGTTCTAACAAGAGTATCTGCTTTTGACTGAAAGGCTTCCATTTCTGTTTTGGTTTCATCTCCCAAACAATACCAGAACTAAAATAATTCACAAAGAATAATAAATTACTGATATATATTTTTATATTTTTAGCTGTATTGAGCTGTCATTTAACCCCAAACTGCTATAAAAACAAACAAGGAAGAGGGAGGTGGGAAAATATTTTTCTATCACAGATCTGACAGCAAGGGTTTGGCAAACTTTTTCTCTAAAGGGCTTTATACAAAACATTTTTTGCTTCATAGGCTAAATGGCAAAATCAGGGTTCCTATATGGAGACTTTGAGGTGTGGTGTTAGAGAAGTTTCTGAACATCCCATGGACTACCAAAAGAACAGATATGTCTTGGACAAAGTACAGTCAGAGTCCTCCTTGGAGGCAAAGATGACAAAAAAGCTTTGTCTCACATACTTTGGGCATTTTGTTAGAAAAGGTTATTCCTTGGAGAAGAGTATCATGCTTAGAAAGGTGGGAGACTGGTAAAAGAGAGAACAGCCTCAACCATATGATTGACACAGTGACTGCTGCAATGTGCTTGAGTATGTCAGAGATGATGAGGATGGCACAGGGCTCAGATCTGTTTTTCAGAGAGTCACTATGAGTCATACTCAACTCAATGGCCCCTAACAACATAAGGAGATATATATTCAAAGAAAATAAACCTACATTTCTAAATTAAAATTTCAAAATATAAAAATAATAATAAAGACTATATCTATGGAATTTATCTTTCAATATGACTTTTCCTAGCTATTATTTGACTTTTCTATGTAGATGGAAAGGGGCATGTTAGTCTATGAGGATTGACCAGTCTCAACAATCTACAAGGGGACTGGCTAGTCTCACCATTGAATTGAGAAAGGCAGCAGGAGAAATGCACAAATATTATGGTGCCATTGAAAAGAAAGTAAGACAATGTATGACACTCTTCCTGCTCCAGCTACACCTACGGCAGCTACACCTATGGCTGAACTGGAGACCTGATGTGAGATTGGACTTTGAGGAGGGGAGAGCCAATACTGGCAGGACGGAGAACTTTGTTGAGCAACTGGGTTGGGAAGCCAATACTGGTAACTCTGCTGGACAACTGGGGATGGGAAGCCAATATTGGCAGGACTAAGAATTTGGCAACACTAAGCTGTGAGGCTTGAGGATGAGATGCCTGTGTGCACATTTCTGGAGCTATTTTGACTGTGTTCTGTTATGAATCTGTATTATAACTTTTTTACTTCCCCAATATGTGATCTATGAGCTACTGCATCAGCATTTGGACCCAGCAAAGCAGTAAGACTGGTGTTGAGATGAGTAGAAGGAGATAAGGGAGTGTGGGGGACATGTTTCACTTCACGGGAATTTTGTGTTATTAATGGAGAATTAACAATTCTCCTTTGTGAAGTCAGTATAGGTCAGATATGGTCAACCTACATGGCCGTTGTCCTTTTTATAATACCCATTGCCATGGAGTCTGAATCAACTCACAGCTTATCCTCCAGCAGGCTTCCAAAGCTACAAATGATATGGGATATTATGAGAGATTATCCATCTTTCTTCTGGGAAGTCACTGGTGAGTTTGAGTCACCAGAGGCCTTCAGTATTAGTAACACAACTCCTTACAGACTATACTACCTGAGCTTCCTTAGATCTTAGTAACTCTTTCAGCCTAGAACTAAACTCAACTCAGTGGATCAACTTTTAGCCAAAAAACAAATGGCATGCTTATAAAGGTGAACAGTAATACCTTAGAATAATCAATTATAGAAAATTAAAAGGACAGTATTTATTTGCCCAGGAAGAAAGTACAGAGGGCTGGAAGAAATGGAACATAAATGTGAATAGAAATTAAAATCATAGGTAGGAAGTAAAAAGTGTGTTATTACAATGTGGGAAATGTCCATGATTAATGTCATAAAAGGAAATTTTTATGAATGATTGAATAGAAAACAAATATGCCCTGTATACTCTCACTCAAAGTACAATGAAATGTTTAAAACCAAATGTAACAACAACCAAAAAAATAGATCTTAGTAAGAAAAACAAACTTAAGGTGGAATATCTTTTCACTTTAGCTCTCCTTATTATCAAAATCAGATGCAAATATTTATTTGTCAATGATCTGTAAAGAGCCTTCTCTAGGAACATTTTTTTAAGAAATAAAAAAAACAACAAAAAACAAACCACCCCCACACACAACCACACAAGCTTCAAAACCAAACTGATTGCAATCAATTCTTTCAATGATCTGACTAGGGAATTCTATAGGCATGGTCTCTAAGGAGCTGTGCTGCTAACCCAAAGTTCACACTTCTCTAGATGTTTGAATTTATCAATTACCCCACGGGAGAAAGATGGGAAATCTCCTTCCATGTGATTTATAGCCTCAAAAGCTTGCTGGAGGGTCAGTTATAAGTTAGTTTTGACTTAATGGCACATAATAACAACCTATTGTCAGAAAGCTTTGTGAGTTTGTCCAACTAAATCGTTTTTACTGCTCAACACATTTCTTCCCTCCTAATCAGCTGCAACATAATACAGAAGATTCTATTTGAATTTGTACTGAAAATTTCCCTAACTTGTCTGAAAAATATCCTCTGCTATAGTTTTCCATGTAGACCACTATAAGTACCAATTCTTCAGTCTCTTTTAATTCATCACGATCTACCCAAACACACAACTGAGTAATCAAGTAACATCTGTTGCTTCAAGAGTCAAAGTTGCTTGAAGTTATACAACTTAATTGTTTAATTGACTACTGATGTAATTCTAAATGTTCTCAAATCTTGAAGCACTTGTTCTTTCTGAAAGGCTAATGGTCTGTAACAAGTTTATCTTCTCTGGGCCAATTTCTTCAGCTGCTACAATCAGATATGATTCAATTAACTCATCCTTGATAAAAAGCTTTCTTCCTTGTTGCCAATAAATTATAAACTTCCCTTGGTTATAGCCTCATTTTGGTTTTTGTTTGCTTATTAAAAAAAAATCACTAAGATGAAGTATTTTACTTTAAATATCCTAATTATTTTCTGGTCATAGCTTTCCTAAGAGTTAGGAATACTGAGAGAGTGGTTAATATGATGTTTATACACACACACACACACATACATATATACATACTGCATTTATATATATACACACACACTACATATACACACACACACTACATTTTCTTAGCACAACAGTGCCTGGTGTTATAAACCAACTGCACTAGATAAGTAACCTAAAGAAGCTCTGACAACATAGTCCATAGGAATTGCACTGCTGGCCCAAAGGTGGTGCCTCTCTGGTGGTGTGGATTCCACTAGAAGTTCGAGTATATTTGAGATTGTGAGGTTGGTACAGACAGGACAGGTAGACTGTTCACAGGGTCACTGTTGTCATATTCTACTTGATAGCATCTAGAAACAACAACAGAGGCTTCATAGAAGAACAATAAGTAATTTCCTATAGAGCAGTTTATGACTTCCAAAAACCACTGGTGAATCAGCTATGAGTTTCTTTCAGCTCAGTGTCAATAAGAGAGTAAAGATTAGCCTAAAGACAGATGATTTTCACTCACCCAGCCACATCTCATGATGCCACAAAGGCTTGACATTTTCCTAAATACTATAGCCAAAAAATCCTAAAGCTACAACTGAGTCAAAGTTGCTCTGTAAAACTCTCTGTAACAGAGACAGCATGAGCTAGAATTTACTTGACAACAATGAGTTTCATATTTTTTGTTATTTCTAATCGCAGCTACAGTGTAAATATACATAAGAAACATAATACTTTGCCACTTAATCTGATAACAAACTAACTTACCTGTTTTTGTTTTGATATAAATATGCTTTAACAATGAAAAATAAATATTATATCAAATACAAAGTATGTGGTAAATACAAAGTAAATACTGATACACAATGCACTCAAAACATTTAGTTCTAACTGCATCACTGATTTATATAGTACAATAAGTTATATTTGAAACAGTCACAGATGTTTATAGGAAGAACTATGGCTATGTTTGAATAAAACTTTATTTAAGAGAACTGAAATTTGAATTTTTCACTTTTTTGTGTTACAAATTATTCTTCCTCCGATCTTTCTTCCAACCATTTAAAAATTAAAAAAAAAAAAAACAAACAATACCTGTGTGGCAAAAGAGGATCAATTCTTAAATATATCATTTAATTGGAGTTTTTGGTAAATCAGAACAAGTGCATATAGTTTTTATTTAACCTTTACCCATAGCCTTCAATTGAAGTCCTACTCAGAGTACACCCTCCCATCAGGTTTCTGAGGCTGTAAATCTTTACTGGAGGAGACTGTGCATCCTTCTTCAGAATGGCTAGTGGATTAAAACTGCCAGCCTTGTAAGTTATTGCCAAGTAAGTTATTCACTATGCAGTCAGAACCCTTATTTTAGCACATGAAAAGGCTAAAGCTTTCTCCACGATATTAAAAAGTTGCACATGTAGCAAATGAAAGTGAATGTGATGCACAATTTGTTGTAAACAGAAGTTGATTCAGTCTTTTCAAAGAAGGGGAAAATTTACCGAAGTCAGTCAGACATTCATAAACCAGGAACTGCCTGTACCATTCTTAGTTCACTTGATTTAATAAAAACCCAAGCAGCAAGTTTTATTTGACCCATTCCATGTATCAGCCTCCAAAAAAGAATAAGGATATTACTAAATTTAGTGTTATTTAAAAAGCCAAGAAACGTATTTAAACACATTCCTACAGAGGTATAAATAGAACCAGAAAGAGTAAATGGTAACTTCACCATTATAAAGTTTTACACCACCACTCATTGAAGATTATATGTACAAGTAAAAAAATCAACACTTCTAATAATCATTAATTTTATTTTTCTTCAGTTTCTCTCTTGCCTTGTTCTGATACATCCCACTTACCCACTCTCTACTGAACATATTCTCTATTGCACAGAAGCTGCTACTACATCTGTACTTCCACTGCATCATCAGGTCTTTGCAGCACTTCTAAGTGCTTTCATAACTGATTAAAATGTAAATGATTAAGAAAGAAGCAAGTCTTAGCTGCACTGCAATTCCAGAGCTATGTGGTTCGAATTCACCAGATGCTCTGCTGTAAAAGGAGGGGCAATCTCCTGCTGTACCAGTCAGATTGAATGTGACGGTACACACACACACAAAATAATAAAACTAAGGAAAAAAAAAAGAAAGAAGCAAGTCGTTCTTTCTCCCCTATCAACTGACAAATGAGTATTGTGGGGGCAAAACAAGTATCTTAGTTGTCTCTCTCTTTGGGGTTTTTTTAATTAGCAGTGCAAAACACTATTGTTGTCTGTTTGGCTGAATAAAGGTAGAGTAGAGGAAGTTCCTGGGTTATAACATCTGACTTAAAGACAAAAACTATTTGCCATGTAATATTATGCAAATTCACTCTCAATTTAAAATGACGGAACCAATCCCTACTCCAAATTCTTCATCACAGTCATCTTCACTTGCTACATGTACAGTTTTAAAATCACTGAAAAGACTTGGAGCCTTTTCAAAGCTAAATAAAAACTATCTGCACCTGTTTCAACTCATCTATAATTCACAACATAGTTCAGAATAGATTTTGTTTGTAAATCTTGGACAGCCATATAAGAATTTCTGTTTACACTAATCGATTGGCTATTATCAACTCAAATTCCTTTCCAAATATTCTGCTTTCGTAGCTTCCTTTCCATACCTAGTTATTCCAATATATGACACTTCTTGCTTGTTATCATTGTTAACCAGTGAAAGCCCAAGACTGTGGAGAGAGAACGTGACTTCATGATCAGCTTGTTCCATTTCTTCTGCTTGCCGTGCTTTGGAAACCAAGGCAACATCATCGGTGAAAAGCAAAACTCTCTGGCGTCCATCAAGGAATGACACCCAATGTATCTGGATATTTGCATCATATGGAAACTGTCCACATTCATCCTGAGAGGAAAAAGACAACATTTCACTAACTCACAAACATTAGGTTTTTATTACATAAAATTGAGCTACACAGAGAAAGGTCAGAAAATAAGACATAAAAATGATGGAGATAACTAACATTAAAGGGACAAATTAAAACTCTATTCTATTTTAAAATATATCAATTATTATTTTTGACAAATAATTAATAGTGAGGAATTTTTATACCTTTGAGTTATCTAGTTAGCTCAAAACACATTTACAGTAACAATATACTTCATTAACACTAATGCCATATGATGCTTACTTGTCTACAAATTACAAAATTATTCAGATGTCAACCAGATGAGTAACTCCTAGAAAAACCAACCTAATTTAATCCCAATAATTTATAAGATCAAAAATATTTAAATTGCACTGACAGTCAAACGACAGTGATCTTTTTACACCAAATTTCATTAAGAATCCTCTCACCTAAAGATTTCTAGAGCAATTAGAAATGCAGAGTTTGATTTGGTTAGTGTTTTCAGAGAAAAGATAATAGTTAGTGTTTGGGGCAACACTTAAATATAACAAGAGTTCAATTCATCTGGCAGTGCAAACACCTACTCTGTGTAAGTCACTACATCAATGCTGAGAATTAAAAAAACAATATGACATGGTCTTGCCTATATGTCCTGGAAAAAAAAAAATCAGTCATAAGAGAAATCAAAGAAGATAATTTATATTTAATAAAAACCTTAAAATACTCATTTTCTCTAATAATACTTGACATGTCAAATGAAAGAGACTAAAAATATATATGGTAACTAATATATGTCTGTTCCTTCTGGTTGTAAAAATAATTTAACGTTATTGTAAAAAGTTTACAAAAGAGAAAAAAGTACAAAGCAGCAATAAAGGCCATCTTCTTGTTGCTGTTACCTGTCATACAAATGGCTCCAAGTCACAGTGAATCTTGACAATCTATAGCCCCATAATCCAAACCAACCCATAGTGATTTTTAATATATACTGACTTCCAGCACTATTCTGCCAAATACATAAGTAGTGTGACATAGCTGGAATAATGTTTTATCTATAATTTTATTTCCTCATTTCTGTTGTTGGGTGCCACTGAGTCAGTTCTGTCTCAAAGCGACCCTACATTCTACAGGATGAAATAGTGCCTGGTCCTATGCCATTGTCAGAACTTGGGTTTAAGTTCAATGTTGCAGTCACAGTGTGAATCCTTCCCTGTCAGGATCATCCTCTTTTTTGCAGACCTTCAACTTTATCAAGCATGATGTCCTTCTCTAAGAGTTGGCTCTCTTGATAACATGTCCAAAGTACATGAGACAAAGTCTTGCCATCCCTGCTTCAAAGGAGCACACTGACTACTCTTTCCAAGAAAGATCTGATTATGGTATGTAGTACATTTACCATCAAAAAGTAAAGGCATCAATTGTTAGGTCTCTGTTATTCACTGTCCACCTTTTGTAAATATTATCAGGCAACAGAAAAGAATTCTGAGGTCAGGTACAACTTTGCTTTCAAAGTGACATCTTTGGTCTTTAGCATGTTAAGGTTTTCTGAAAGATAACATAATGTGATTTCATTTTCTGCCTGCTATTTTTACAGGCATATCATATGGATTTAAAGAAAATGATATCTTGAATATCCCAGTATCTTTTTCAGTTTGTCATGACGTTGCTCACTGGTCTACTTATGTTCATTTTTATTACTGTCATATTTTTAATTAATAAAATACATAACAATGCTCAAGGAAATATGCTGGGAAAATCCCACAGCCAACACTAATATACAATGTTTAATATTTTTTTAGTCTTAGAATTTTTCTCTATTAAAAAAAAGTTTTTAAAAGTGCTTCTGGTTATTGTTAAGTGTTTGTTGTAGTGTGTTGTAGCTAGGTGTCATTGAGTCGAATATGATTCATAGCGACCCTATAAACAAAAGATCTGAACCCTGTTCTATCCTGAGCCATTCTCACATTTCCACAAGAGCCCATAGCAGCAGTCACCATGTAAATCTACCTGGTACAGAGTCTTCCCCTCCTTCTCCGACCCTCTATCCTTCCCAGAATTGTGTCCCTGTCCAAGGAATAGCCCCTCCTAACAACATATCCAAAGTATGTGAGCCATCATTCTTGCCTCCAAAGAGGACTCTGGCTGGACCTTTTCCAAGACATATCTGGTTGTTCTCTTAGCCATCCATAGGATATTATCCAGTGCTCTTTTTAACACCACAGCTCAAAAGAGTCAATTCTTTTTCTGTCATCCATATTCATTGTCCAGCTCTCTGATACAAGTGATCAGAAAGACTATGGCCTGCATCAGATGCACCTTTGTCCTCAAACTGACATTATTATTCCTCAAAAATTGGAGAGGTCTCTAACTGCAGATTTTTCCCAGTGTAAGGTGTCTCCTTATTTCCAGACTGCTGGTACTCATGGTGTTAAATGTGTAAAAAGTGTAAAATTGCTTAACTGGTCTTTATTTATTTGGCCATGATTCAGGAGAGCTGATTTTTTAAAATTAGAAATAAATAATTTAAGTTGGTCTAAAATGAAATATGAATATAAATTATTTCTCTCTAAAGACCAAGAGTTAATGAATCTAAAAATATCTCTAACTCAACTTTACTTCATCCATTTTGTCTACCTCCCTCACCATCAGGGTACCCACAGCACACACATTAACATCACAAGTTACCTTCAACAGATCATGTTCCCCAACACTTGCTGCATAACTCCATGTAAGTTTTCTGGTACCAGTAGGATCTGCCCAAGCAAAAAGTCTAACTTGTTTTGGCAGCAACACCATTTCTTCCTGTGATCCACTGAAACACAATTGACAAAAGGAAGACTAAAATAGTTTGGCCTTAAAAAATCAGAGTTGTTTTTGTATTGAGCCTTGTATTGAGAAGCATTAAACAGTCTCAACTAATGAAACAACTATGTCCAAAAAAGAAATAAGTTTTCTAGTCAACTAACAGGTACGAAGCTTAAAGAAAGAAAATATTGTCCTTTTTAAAATAGACTCTGAATTTACCCATCCATACAGGCTAAATCCAACAGAGTTCATTAGGTAATTATAGCAGAAATCATTTATAAAAGTAAGGCTGAGAATAGTAAGTACTTTGAATGGCAGAAAAACTTCCTTCATATTACTAAAATTTAATGTTTTTTTAATCAAATAAAATGCATAAGAAATATTATGGGTTTCAACCTAAATAAAATGAGCCCATACTGTTGCTTTAAAGTGTGGTCCTGGGGACCAGAAGCACCAGCAATTGTTAAGTATGTGCTGGAAATACCAGGCCCTGTATTTTAGAACTGAATAAATTTTTCTGCTACCAAATCAAAGTCAATGCCTTGGAGTCAGAATTAACTCATAGCTGACCTTCAAGCAAATGTCTGAAACTTTAAGTCATAGGGAAAGAGACTGCCCATCTTTCTCCCACAGAGCTGAGTTGTGTGTGTTTAGTATATATATGGAATCTATATAAAACATTTATATTTTATAATTTAAGGGTTTAAGATTATGAATAGCATTATACCAGCCAAATAACAGCACATGCTAAAATAACAGAACATATAAGATACATTCAACATAACTATCTACTTAACTATCTTTGTAAAAATTTTATTCTACCCCAATAAAGGGAGCTCTGGTGGCCTCGGGGCAAGAAGTTGTGGTGCAATCTCAAAGGCACATGGTTCCAGGCTCTGCAGGTGAAGGATGGGCAGTCTCCTCCCACGTAATTAACTGCCTCTGAAAAGCTGCTTAGAGGGTCAGCTATGGGTCAGTTCCAACTCTATGGTAAACAACAACAACAACCCCTAGTAAAAAAACCAAAATAACTTAGTTACAGAATTATAAAGAGGTTCACTGAGGATCACCACATTACCAAGAAAAGATAATAATAAAACAGATACACAATCTCTTTTTAGAATTCTTAAACTTACAAACTCCTCAAAGTGCTTGGTACTAAAATAATCTGATCACATCTGAATCAAAATGAAGTAAGACTATGAATAGTTATTATTTATCCCGTTTGATGTGACAATTCATAAATTTTGCTGCAGAAATAGTAATGGGGTAGATTACAGATAGTTTGAAAAACTGTTGGTATTAGTAACCAATAGTATATGCCCCAGATCACTTCTCTAAAATGCAAAAACATCTATCAAACACATCGAGCCCCAAGTTCTTGCTAGAACGGATTGGAAGGGCAGTGAAAGCAAAGTTACATTCTCCACTGTTTCTCTTTCCTCATACCTTTGTTTATAAGAGAGCACGTCCCACGGTGTATGGTTTATTATGAGAGCAGGTGCAGACCCCTCATGATAATCAGAAAAAGTTATCACAGTTGAATGCTCAGCAGTGTTGACATCCACCAAGATACCACCATTCTATCAGAGAAAAAAAATAAAGTTGGTCGAAGTACTTGTTTAACTTATAATAAATTTGAATTTTAAATCAGTCATGCAGACACAAAAGTTTTGCTAAGATTTTACTGAAAAGTAAGCTTGTCCTGACCTCTTGGGAATATAAATGACATTAAATACTAATATAGTAAGCTCTGATGGTCACTAGTCTAGTGGTAATAAGCTGTGCTGCAATCCCAAAGGCCCACAGTTCAAATCTACCAGCTGCTCTGTTATAGAAGGATGGGCAATCTCCTTCTTTGTGTTTTACAGCTTCTGAAAACCCACTGGAAGGTCAGCTATGAGTCAGTTATGACTCAACAGCACACAACAGTAACATACTAATAGAGAAACACTTCCAAACTACTGGTGTTTAAGTTCTTTATAACACAAAGCAAATTTTAGAGTTATTTTAAAATATTACAGCTTACCAAATCTTCTAAACTCAATAAAGTGCCATTGTCCTGGCGGTTATAAAAGAATGGTTTAGATGATCCTTCAAAGCCCACGACTCTCACACAAAGTTTTCCTGACAAATTTTCAGGCCAAAATGGAAGGCACTGTAAGTACAAAAGTTAACCTTGAAAAAACACTATAGCATAGAACAGACATTGATTCACTATGTTCTTAATTCAAAATGTAATAATTTATTACTACTTTTTTTTTAAATTATGCTCTTGCATGTTCTCCCTCTTTGATTTGGAGACCACACTGCTCTGAGTACCAGTATCCAAGATCCAGCTGAGAAATTACTGAGACCTTAATATCCACATCCAGGATATTACTCCACTATACCAGCCTTAATTCTCAGCTGGAATGCTTTAACATCCACCCAGGGCCCCATCCTGCCATGCCACAGGCCTCAAATGGATCTAGTAACATAAAATTCATATGCCTGATTTGCTGTGAGAAATAAAACACTTATCTGTCAGTTTGTTGGACTGAAGAAATGATCTTTTTTTTAAATCTTTTAACAGTTACATAGTACATGTGAATATATCAACTTAGTCTAAGAAACTCTGAAATGTACAAAATAATAAATCAATAGTATAGCTTCAAACATCATATTTAGGCAGGTAAAAACATCTCCTTTTAACCAGTCATGAAACAGGAACACAAGATACAAAATATAAAATGTAGGAACAATCTTAATATTGCTAATTACTTTATTGTTGTTGTTAGGTCCCTCTGCGGCACCTGTGACTGAAAGTAGCACTGTATGTACAGTAGCTCTGAACCCTGTCCTAATCTGAGTCAATCTCACCATCTCTGACAAACCAGCCCCCAAAGCTCCAGTTACAGTGTGAATCCATCTCATTCACCTTTCCAAGCATGATGTCCATCGCCAAGGACTGGTCCTTGCTGGCAACATGCCCAAAGTATATGAGACGGAGCCTCAAAATCTTTGCCTCCGATAAAGCTCATTGATTTCACCTTCTCAAAGACAGATCTGTTGGTTTTTTTGACAGTCCATGGTATGTTCAACTATTCTCCAGCACCACAACACAAAGGCATTGATCCTCCATCTTTCATCTTTAGTCATTGTCCAGATCTTTGTTGCATAAAAAGTCTTTCTGAAGACCATGTCCTTAATCAGGTGCACTTTAGTCTCTAGAATGACACTGATGCTCATCAGCACTCTGGTGAGGTCTCTGACAGCAGATTTTCCTAATGTAACTTGTCTTTTGACTTCTTGACTACTGATGCCAAGAGAGTTGATTGTGGAGCTGAGCAAGCTGAAATTGTTAACAATCTCAATCCCTTCTCCACCTATATGCTGCCAATTGGCTCAGTGCTGAGAATCTTTGTTTTCTTGATGTGAGCTTCCATTCACGTAGGAGACTGAAGACTTTGACCTTCGGTAAATCCTTCAAGTTTTCCTCATTTCCAGAAAGTTTGTGTTATCTGCATAGTTCAGGTTGTCCAACTCTGATGCAACATGACTCTTCATAGAATCTAGCTTCCTGGATGATCTTTTCTGCATATAGAAAGGTATGGAGACTGCATCTAAATTCCAAAATCAATCTCCACAATAGTCTACATGTTTCCTACTGCCAAAGGGGCCCTTTAGAGTAGTGAGAGAAGATCTTCACCTTGAAACCTAGAGCATCCCTTTTCAGCAGGAAGTAGCTAAGAGAATACGCCATCCCCTTTTCCTTATGAATCAGAGTGAAGTCTTTCTCAGGGAGGAGTGATAGGAAATGGCAAAGGACCCACTGACAAAGGAGATTAATCAGAACTGGTTTTGACAAGCACTGTGGCAATGGGTATGGGGGTATTGTGTACCAGGAAGGAGTGTTTCTTCTACTTTTGAAAGAGAGGAGCGAAGTTGGGGGGGAGGGGGGAGAGAAGTGCAGCAATGAATGAATGGAAATCCAAAATCTCTGTAAATGCTCATTAAAATTATTTTTAAAAAAACAAAAACAAAACCAAAAACAAAGAGACTTTCAAGGAGGAAAAAAAAAGAGAGGCACAAACTGGGCAGGGGGGTACAGAAAACAGTGCAATAATGAATGAATGGAAATAAATCTCTGTAAATGCTCATTAAAATTAATAATGATTTTTTTAAAAAAAGAAAGGTATGGAGACAAGGTTGTATCCCTTATGGCTTCCTTCCCTGTTTTTGAATCATGCAGTGTTCTCCTGCACTGTTGAGGACTGCCTTCTGGTCCAAGTATGTCCATGAGCACAATCAAGTGTTCTGGGATTCCCATTCTTCTCAAGGTTAGTCACAGTTTATTGTGATCCAGTCAAATGCGTAGTCAATCAAAACCAGACAGACATTCCTCTGGTACTCTCTGCTTTGAGCCAAGATCCATCTGACATTGACTAAGATGTCCCTAGTGCCTCTTCTAAATCCAGCTTGTACTGCTGTCAGTTCTCTGTTGATGTACTCTTATATTTTTTATTTAAAAAAATTATTTTCTATTTGCATATAAAATTAATATACATTGTGTTTTATTTATGTTCATTGTGTTTCACACATTCCTTCATTCACATTGTGTTTAAAACGATCATTAAGACAAAACTAAGTATTATAACAAAATGAGCAAAGAGCTAGCATCAGAAAATCAAAAGGAAGAACTTGCTCAGGACATCTTAAGAAATGAAAAGAACTGAGGAACAAATTAAAATCTCCAATTGCAATACTTAAAGATGGTATGAGCAAAACCTGGAATGATTCAGAAAGCATCAAAAGATAAAAGGAATGCATAGAATCACTTTATCAAAAAGAATTGTCTGACACAGACCATTTCAGAATGTAGCATCTGACCAAGAACAAATGGTAATAAAGGTTCAAGCTGATCTGAAAGAATTGACAAAGATTATGGCCCCAAGAATGGATGGAATACCAACTGATATATTTCAACAATCAAATGCAACCCTGGATATACTCACCAAGTTATGCTAAAAAATCTAGGGACAGATACCTGGCTGACTGACTGGAAGAGATTTCTATTTATTTCCATTCCAAAAAAGGGTGATCCAACAGGATGTTGAAATTATCAAACAAAATCATTAATATTACATGCAAACAAAATTTTGCTGAATATTATCCAAAAACACCTGGAAAAGTACATTAACAAAGAACAGCCAGAAATACAAACAGGGTTTAGGTAAGGCTGTGACATTAGGGCTATCATAACTGATTCAGATAGATCTTAGCTGAAAGCAGAGTCCCAGAAGGACGTCTATTTCTGTTTTATCAACCATACAAAGGCATTTGGCTGTGTGGGTCACAACAAATTATGGCTAACATTAAGAAGAATGAGAATTCCAGGACAAATGATCGTGCTTCTGCAAAACCTACACCTAAACCAAGAAGCTATTGTCTGAACAGAGCAAGAAAACACAGCATGGTTCAAAATTAGGGAAGAAGAACATGAGGATGCATCCTGTCTCCATACAATTTTTCAATCAATACGCAGAAGAGATTATTTAGGAGGTTGGATTTAAGAAGAATGTGGCATTAGGATTGGAGGAAGACTCACCAACAACCTACATTATACAGATGACATAATCCTGTTTGCCACAAGTGAGGAGGACTTGAAGCCCTTGCTACAGAAGGCCAAAGACTAAAGCCTTCAATATGGATGAAACCTCAATGTGTACGAAAAAAATAATACTCACCACTGGACCGACAAGCAACATCACAAAAACATCATAAGGAAAAAAGATTGAAACTGTCAATGATTTCATCTAACATGGATACATAATCAACACCCTTGGTACCAGCAGTCAGGAAAACAGGGAACGTCTGCCATAAGGGATCTTTCTAAATCATTGAGGTACAGTGATATCACTTTAAAGACTAAGGTGCACCTGATTCAAATCATGATCTTTTCAATCACTTGCAATGCATTTCAGAGTTTGACAATGAATAAGGATGACAGAAAAATGGATGCCTTTGATGTATGGTGCTGAGTACTGAACATCCCGTGGATGGCTAAAAGAACATATGTATCTTGGACAAGTGTGGCCAGAGTGCTCCCTGGAGGCAAAGGTGCAAAATATTGTCTCACACATCTTGGGCATGTTGCTAGGAGAGACTATTCCTTGAAGCAGGACATCATGCTTGGAAAAGTGGAAGGCAGGCAAAATAGACCCTCAACTAGATAGACTGACACAGTGACTGCAGCAATGATCTCTGTGTGTCAGAGATAATGAGGATGGATCAGGATAGGATAGGTTCCAGATCTGTTGTTCATAGGGTTATTATGAGTTGTACTCAATTCAATGGCACCTGATACTAACAATTATCAAACCACATCAAAGATACAAGCATAATAAGCATATAATTGTTGCCAAATTTATGAAGTTAATTTTAAGTGCCTTGGAAAGATCATGTCTCATATAGACTGAAGTTTTTCATGTTGTAATTTGATCTTTGTTTTTGAGCCTGTTATCTGTAAAAATAATTTTAGAATCCTGTATTTTAGAGGTACAAAAGAATTACTACTCTAAAGATCAGCTAGTTTTAATGAAAATCAAATCACTGATGTTCTCGTAGCATCTGCCCTTCCTTACTGTCTCCCTCATTCTCTCCACTGTCTCAAATCCTATGAATCCTGGAAAGTTTAATTCAAACAGTCCCTCTCCTGGAAAACTTTTCCTGTTCATCTAGACCACACTGATCTTAACTCCTAATGGTTTTACTGACCTTAGGAAAAATGCTAAGATTCTGTTTCTTCTTCTAAAACATGAAGGGATGGGCTTGTTTGTGTTTTTTTTTAATTCCAAGGAAACATCTAGTTAAGCAATTTGAAATTCTATACCCAGCTTAAACTTGGCATTTACTATCTTTTTCTGCATGTATTAATACATATGAAATTCTAGCTCTAAAATAAGATTATAAGCTTTTTGAATATTGAGACATTATCCTGAAACAGAGAAAACTCATAGTACATTATCTCTATTTTTATATGCATACAAGAACAACTAGAAAATGAGTGTTTACCATCCAGCCTGGAATAGTGGTACCAACATTTTTTAAACATGTTTATGATAAAAAAAAATATTTCATTGCAGGATATATTACCACACACGGCCAAAAGCATTATGAGTATCTAAAAGATCAATGTAATTCTTACATATATAGCTATATCAATTTGTAAAGTTTAAAACCTACTTATATTAAAAGAAAAATCTACCTCTGAAGAGGCAATATAATTCCATTTGTTAGTTGGTATTGAGCCATCGGGTGCAATTTCACCAACTTCCAGTTCTAATGATGACTTGTTTGCAATGGTACAAAAGGGAGTCAGAGTAACTATTCGAGAAAGATTAAAGCTACTCATTTTGATGCTAACACCAACCTGTGAAAAAGAGACAATTTTATAATTCCTCAGCATTCTATTTAATTTGTAACATATACCACTCATTGCATATACCATGCATTGACAGATGACTTAAGACATTTTAAAATGAACATTTTTAAAAAAACAAAACACCATAAAACTACTGTAAGCCATACTTTACTACTATCATCTTAGTAGAGATAAAAATTTTGGCTCCCTTATTTGGATCCATCAGAAATAAACTCAAGAAATGACAATATATAGCTTCATTAATGAACACTTCCCATTTAAGATTTATCTGGTATACCTAATCTTTAAACAAAACACACATAAATCATCTTTTAATTAGTGTTAGACCGAATTTATAAATGTATTTATAAAGATATTAATAAAATAAGACAGACATTTCAAAATAGTAATAAAACAGGTTAATTGGTATCAAATATTCAAATTTTTATAGTAGTCAAATATAAGGTGTAAGGAATATTTGACCATTTGAGATTATTTATTACTTTGCAAGAGAGAGAGAGCAAGCTGTGGAATGGAAGCAGGATGCTAGCAGACTCCAAATATTTACTAAGCTTCTTAGATGGATTCAACTCATTGTCTTAAACCTCAAGAAATTCAAGCTTTTGATTTTGTGGCTATAGAAACAGTAAAGAATCTTCAACATATTTTGAATAGAAATATTTTTTTTAATTTTTATTTTATTATTTTTGTGTGAGTGTACCGTCAAATCAGATCTGACTGGTACAGGAGGAGATTGTCCCTCCTTCCCCGGCAGAGCATCTGGTGGATTCGAACCGTGAGCCTCTGGGATTGTAGTTGCAGCTCCTTACCACTAGGCCACCAGAGCTCCCCCGAATCGAAATATTTTTATCCCTTAGGAGCTGTCTGTTTTACAGAGTCATGGAAAAAGTTCATGGAATCAAAAAGGGGAAAAAAGAATTAGAACCTTACCAGGTATTCCATGTTGTTGGCAGGGCACTTCACACATCCATAACTTCCTACAGTATCCAATGAGAAACCATTGGACCAGGCACTCGTAGAAATTTTTAACTGTACCTATATTGGAGAATATATCATTTTAGTTAATGAAAAGGTGCTAAACAACCAAGAAATTTCTGTAATACCACAGGACACAGAAAATCATAATCAAAGGCATGGTACAAATGAATATCGCGTCCACAGAAAATTGCAAATCTAGAGGACATACAACAGTAACAGAGGTTTGACCTTCCTAGCTATGTAATGAGTACAGTGAATCTAAAGATATATACCAATTGTTTTAAAAGAATCATAATGAACATGAGATTTTCCAGTGTTAACCTTATGATATACAGTTATCAAGTTATCAAAGTTTTTGGACATTTAGAATTTATATATTTAAGTAACATTATCCAACAAATACTAGACAAAAGTAAATTGTAACAAGCAGAATCAAAGACTATGAGACACAGTTCATAATTGAAGAGTCTCCAACTAAACAGATAGGTTAAGAAATAAGTACAAGTAAGTATGATACAAGACTCTGTATGATAAAGCCAATACAAAGAAACACAAAATACCATACAGAATACAAGGTATAAAGTTTACTCTAGCTATAGGATTTAGGGAAAGAGACCTAACCATGTACCCATATTAACTCCACCCCTATTTACTCAACCATATTACAGCAAACCAAACGTCAGACATATGAACAGATAATTACAATACCATATGATAATCTAAGTGGTTCTAAATGTGTGGTCCCAAGACCACAGCATCAACATCACTAAGGACTTTGTTAGAAATGGAAATCTTCAGATCCTACTTGGCTCTACAAGAGTGCTGGTGGCGTAATGTGTTTTGTACTGTGCTGCTAACCAAAATGTCAGCAATTTGAATCCAACATCTGCTTCAAGTGAAAAACATGGGCAGTCTCCTCCTGTGAAGATTAAAGGCTCAGAAACCTACGAGTATCCATGAGTCATCAGAAGCAACTCAACAGCAGTGGGATTTTGACTTTCTGAATCAAATTCTGGAAGCAGAGTCCAGCAATCTTCTTTTGAAAGATCTTCAGGTGGTTATAACACACTGATGTTTGAAAACTGCTGCTCCAAGAAAACATGGATGGAACACCCAGTCCCACTTCCTTCAAATAGTAGGGAAATCTTCCATATATGTAAGGCAGGAAAATGCGAAAAAATGGACCTCAAAAAACAGGACAGGTGAGAAAGAGAAAAAGAGAGGAGAAGATGCATTCAAAGTAAAGAGTGATACAAATAGAAAGGCCTAGACAGATGCACTGGGGATCTTATGATAATCTATGTGGACCAGATTATAAAGGACTAAGCTCAGATATCCAGCTTTTCTCTCAAGCCACTAACAGTAACAGCAGCATCTTCTGAAAAGATATTTCATTGTAGGTGATTGTTGCCATTGGGGCTGTTGATCATTCTGCCACATAGAAACCCCATGTAAACCCTCATGTAGTTTTGGTGGCTCTCTTGTTTATGGAAGCAGATCACCAAGGTTTTTCTCCTAAAAAGCTGCTGGATGGGTTCAAAGTGCCGATTTTTCAGTTAGCAGTTACGTGCTTACCTGATGCATCACCTGTGCTTCTATCTGACATTATCTTAAAATGAATCATTTGAGGGTTACCAGAGAAAAAGTCACAGGTCAGGAAACTGTTTTTAGCTCCCAACCTTCCACTTAACGGCATATCTGAACTCCCCTCAAGCCCAATTCGTACCAATTATTTGCAGCTCACAGAGAGGTAAGGCAGAAAAGGCAATAATTTCCACATTCCAGGATTAGGAACTGACCTATATTTAACTTATTCTATGAATTAAAACTCACCTTATTTTTACTAAATATGTTCTTCTTCTTGAAAGAGAATAAAATGATATCCCTGAAATCAGCTGGATGTTTCACATGAATATCTTCTGCACGATACTGGAGGACCCTGGAGGTCTTATTGATTAGCCAATAGGGGCTAAAGACAGACAGTACCATCCGGCTACCAATGCGCCTGACATGGACTGACAAGTCAAGTGTCATCACTTCTGAGGAGTCAGCAGAAAAACACACAAGAAAAAATTCGGGAAGTGTATCATTTATGCGGATATGTCCGTTCCAATTTTTGCCCTGGTATTTCATCAGGACTAACTCCATTAATTCACCACTGATTCTTGAATGGAGAACATCAGCCGCACTGCCTTCTGCTAACTCATGGGTTTCTGCTGTTCCCTAAAAACAAACATTGGGTCTGCTTAGTGATTATTTTAATTTTGAAACAGTTAAAGTCACATTTTATACAAATGCTAAATAATCTACCAAATGGAGGATAAATGCTAAGTCTTCAACAAAATACCAGTTTACAAATTATGAATGTCTAATAATCAATAAAGACCAGAAAGAAAATATTATAAACAGGTAAAGACAGAAACTGTCCTTTAGAAATTAGCAATATACAGGTACAAGGTTGATCAAATATTGCAATTAGTTATATTAAGATATTTTAATTACTGTTACAAGATTAATAGTTTAATAAAATTATAATTAAAATGCATATGAATGATCAAATTAAAAACCATTATGATTTTAAAATTTAACTTTATCATTTTAAATTTTCATTCAAATAAAAAAAATCAGCTAAAAACAGGAAATTATCTTTTAGCTATGGGTCTTAAGTTGTTATTGTTGATTTTTAAAATCATTACTGGTTTTCATTCAATCACACACATATCTTTTATCTTTGAACACCAAAGACAATGTACTGTGCCATTATTTACCTCCTCCAACAGTCATAAGTTCTAAGAAAAAATAGACCCACATTAAGAGTTGAAGTCTGAATTCAGGACCCTTGTCTCTTGCCTACTGGAGCTATGTCATTATCTGAGCCTCTTTAATTGCCTGGATCTCTTTTTCATCAACTATTCATATATCATGCCTCCAGAAACTCTATAAACTTTGATAAATGTCAATAGTTGTAGAAGGGCTTCAGGCCTTCTGTTCATAGGGTTGCTATGAGTTGTACTAGACCAGTAGCAATCAACAACAAAATTCATATATTAATTCCATAAATTTCCACATGAATGAGATAAGGAAAATGATAGCAAACTATCCCAATAAGCTATCTAAATAAAGGATATTATTCCTTAAATGTATGACAGAAAAAATGAATTACGATTCCTTACTAAGTTCCTTTCATATAAATATTCATTTAACATAATTCATTTTAGTCTCTACAATTTGGGGATGGCTCATATAAAGCAAAGAGCATAATAAAAATGTTTCCAAATACTCTTTACAGATTTTTATATTTTAAAACTTAGTACATGGAAATTTAAAAGTACTTACCTCATTAATAGAAATTATTATTTATGATTTCTTGAGGCAGACAGTAATTGTTTTTATTTTTAAAATAACCTTGAGCCAAATAATTGTATCAACATGAAAATAAATGATTTATAAATTAAGTTAAAAATATTCTCTTGTTTGCTTTTTTCCTATCCTTTAGGTTAACACAATTTTGCTTTAAGTAATAAAAATTATCTGATCAATTTATGGCAGATCCAAGACAGTACAGAATGTTAGGGAGCAAAAAGTCAAGCTGCCTACAATTCCTTGCTCTATCTATAGAGATTTGGGACCCTGGGTAAGTCACAGAACTATTCTGTGACAGTTTCTACATCTGTAAACAGGTAAGTTAGTAGTACCTACCTTAGGGAGGAGTTAACACAAGTATTCAGAGCAGTGAAAAGCATATAGCACATTCTCTGCTGGTGTATGCTATCAGTAACAATATAAACAGTACAGAGTTATGTAAAACACTAGCTTCAAATAAAAATACAGTGAAACAAAACTAGAATCCACTGTGCCCAACAATATATGGGAGACACACCTCCAGTAAATATCTTAGTGAATATGGGAGAAGATTCCGCAAAGTAAGGGGAGGATAAAGATGAATAATGTAAGCTGGATCCCAGTCTTCTCCATGTGTACAGATATAGTTTAATTCATCAGGCAGAGCAGCTGTATTCACTATGAGAGGTAAGAAGTTGGCTTCTGCTGATGGACACTGCAGCATGCACCTGACTTCTTTGCTCCTGTGAAGTTCTTCCTTCCAGGAAATATAGGTGGTAGATGTTTGATACTGATCTTGTAAGATTCCAGCAGGCTGAATAAACAATTGACTTCTACAGGATAATAAAACAGAGGAAAAAGTTTTTATCTTGAAAAAAATAAGGACCTAATTATTTTTATACTCTACAAAGAAAGTATGAAAAAGCTAAGAAGAGGCAAAACAACTTGCTCAAGATCTTATAGCTAACTCCTAAAGTAAATTTCAAGCTGGAGGAGAAAAGGCATACTAGTCAACAAAGACAACTTTGAAAAGTAATTTCAAATACAAAGGCAATCTAAAAAAACAGACCTTTAAGTAATTCTGAAACATCAAAAATACAAGAAATTTCATTTACTAAATTCAATGAAAATAATACAAATGCATTTCCCTATTAACTAGATGTTCAAACAACTTTTATAACTCTTCAAATAATAAAGAGCTTTGTTCCCAGAAAATAGTTAACCAAGTCATAAAATTAAAATACATATTATGAATTTTTGAATGCTTAGTTTATGCAAGGAAGTATCTACCTATAAGAATCTAAAGGAACATGGAACTCCTCTTCAGGTCTGGCTACTCCAATGCACTCCAATAGCTTAACATTCTTAACAAACTTATAGATGATAAAGGCAATAGAGAAATGGTTTTTAATCTGTTGGGGGGAAAGATATGTAAGTTACATGATAAAAAATACACAAGAAAAACAATCACTTCTAGATCTAGTATGTTTCAAACCCAAGACTGGAAGATATTTTGCTTAACATTTTGAAAATGTTTTGCTTACTTAAATACTATAAATATTAAGGCTAATGTTTATGTGGCAGTCTATGATTACTGGGATATTCATATGCTCTGTATAATAAATGTTAATGTTCACTGCTAGTCTATATTGTAAATACTTATTTTACAAAGTTTCAATCACAATACTTTCTCCATTGCCATCTTCTTCCAATGACTATGTTACTACAAAGTAAAAGAACAAAGTATGTAAGAAAAGACAGCAAAGGAAATAGAAAAGTAGTACAATTCTGGTTTTGCCTGAAGGTGATACTAGCTAGAATCAATGCCAAACTAAGAAATAAAACTGCCCAAAATTTGGCAATTTTTTCTTTTATTTCTATCAATGTTATGTATAGAAGGAAAAGTTCTTTTGCTAACCACATACTAAAACTCAATGATACACAGAAAAAAGGAAGTAGGTAAGATCTTCAAAGTTTAACTGAAAATATATATGCACTTAAAGATGTTAGTTTTTCCCCAGAAGATGAAATACATTTCACTATTCTCCCAAACATACTCAAAACAGTATAAACCTAAATGGAATACTGAAAGAATAAAAAGTGTAATCCTATTTCACAACTAACCATAATTATCGTATTTCTCAGTTCAGAATCTTTAAGACTGTACAATAAAAATTTGTTCATTTCTAACACAGGAGACAACAAAAATGACCTTAAATTTGATCTTAAAATAATCTTAAATACTAGATCATCAAATATTTAAAATAAAGAATGCTACCTAAGGATTAAGTCATTTCAATCTAATTCTGAAGTTATTTCTGAGTAACAAGCACTAGTTAATGAAGAATTATTATATTCTTTAAGTACTGAGCTAAAAGATTTCCTATTTCTTGACATTCTTAAAGGGATACAAGTAACTTGACAATTTATTACCTGTAGAGGAGAGCGAAGGGTAATCACTTTATTGCCTTCTGTTGCATCAATCTGAACTAAGACAGAGTCAGAAAAACTGGCAGTGGGATTCCGTACATTATAAAGGCGCCGTCCAGGTCTGATAACAGGGATATTTGCAACTTCTGAGTATCCATGAGGAACTAAGAAAAAAATCGCAAAAGTTAATTTATCTCTATTTCTATATCTATAGCAGAATAATCACTGGCATCTCAAAATAATAAGTATTCTTCCTCATTATTAGAAATAATTACATTATCAAATACTTTTAAAAAAAAACCCAAAATCAATTATTATTAACTGGCCCAAAACAATTTCCCTTAACGTTTCAAATGTATTAAAATAAGTAAAATCTATCTTGATTACGGAGTTTATCTTTCAGTATGACTTTCCTAGCCATCTGAATCTGACCTGACCATGTAGATGGGCATGAATATGTGAATAGGGCATGTTATGAGCCATTCACAAGAGTTAGCTTTCCATTCCACAAGGGGATTGGCCAGTCTCAACAATTAACAAAGATACTAGCTAGGCTCACCAAGAAACTGAACAGCTCTAGGTGCAGAATTAGATCTTCTTCATCAATAAAGAAGAAAAAGAGTTTCCCTGCCCCAGTGAAGAAGAGGAAGTAAATATAGGATGCCTTTCTGGACCAGACATTCTTGCTCCAGATACTCCTATGGCAGCAACAGCCATGGCCAAACCAGAGACCTGATGTGAAATGAGACCTTGGGACTGCTACACCATGGAACCAGAGCTAAGAGCCTTGGCTCAAGCTTGGGAGGAAAAGCCAATATTGGCAGGACTTTTTAACAATAGCCTAAAGCTGTGAGGCTCAAGGCTGAGGTGCCTGTGAGCACATTTCAGGAGCCATTCTGACTGTATTCTGCTACTCACCTGGATTAGTAATTAACCTTTTGACTTCCCTAAAACAGTTCTGTGTGGTCTGTGAGCTACTGCATCAGATTTTGGACTGAGCTAAGCATTTAGATTGGTGCTGAGATGAGTAGAAAGAAGTACAGGATTGTGGGGGACATGTCTAACTTCACTGGTTTTGTGTTACTGATGCTATTGACAGACATGATTCCCCTTTGTGAAGCTGGTAAAGGTCAGCTATGGCCACGTCCACAAGGCCCTTGCTCTTTTTACAGTGTGCTTATTTAACTCTGTAGGAATTAATTCTCTTATAACTTTATAGCTTTCTTTCACTATTTTTTGGTAAATATGGCTAATATTTTAGGATTCTGATATCTTTTTTCAGAGGATGCTATGGGATAGTATTAGCTAAAAGCACAGATAATTTATTTTTCTAAGATACTTCTTAAATTAATGTAAGTCATCTCAAACTTAAAAGGAAACTAGTGTTTACCTACTATTTTAAGCAACTATTTGCCAACTATTTTAATTAAGATACATTTCTAATATTTCCATCATGGATCTGTGGGAGAATATATTTTTTAGAGTTTATTTATAAAAAATAAGCCCACACCAGTAATCCCAGAGACCCCCTTAAATTAAAGAAAATATAGCATACCAAAGGTTAGCGTGAAAAGGGAGCTTTCTTGACGGCTCAATACAGATAGTTTCCCTTGCCGTAAAGGTTCCATGCTGGTATACTCCAATTCCAAAGTCTGTCCAACAGCAACATCATAAATATCACTTTTCTCAGGGGAGCCCATGACTCTAAGATTACGATTCGGTTGAACCTTGATGGGAATGCCTAGTGCATTTTTCACTGTAAAAGGAGCCCTGTCCTTTAAAAAGTAGTCAAAAGTAGAAGCAGTGCCCTCAGAAAAACCCTGAAAGAGAACACAATAGTGCAAGAAAATTTTTGCAATGTGAGCATTCTTCTCAAAAACCATGGCTAGATGTTTTTTTAAAAAACAAACAAAAAAAGATCCACATTTAGTTTTTAAATTCTACTTGATCCTTATGAATCAGGGTGAAGTCTCTCTCAGGGAGGAGTGATAGGTAATGGCAAAGGACACACTGACAAAGGAGATTAATCAGAACTGGCTCTGACAAGCACTGTGGCAATTGGACAATTAAAACAGACTTTCAAGGGGGGGAAAAAGAGGAACGAACTGGGGGGGGGTGAGGGTAGAGAAAATAGTGCAACAATGAATGAATGGAAACCCAAAATCTCTGTAAATGTTCATTAAAATTAATAAAATTTAATTAAAAAAATCTACTTGAAATATTCCAACTAAGAGTGAAACATACTTTGGCTAAATTGTTAAAAACATTAAGGCAGCTTTTGGATATTGTCATATTCATTGTAACATCTGAAGAAATGTGAATTGCCATTTGTGGATCAGGAAGATAAATAAAGTCATCTCCTGGCATCAAACTTTTTTCCTGGACTGGGTTCTTCTTCACCTATGAGAAGAAATAATATAGCAAATGTTAGTTAATTGGTAATAAAATTATCCAGGAAACATTAAAATATGGAAACAGTATACAGAGTCACTGTACCAAAAGGAATTGGAGGACATAGAAGAATTTAATGAAACAACATATGAACAAGAGCCTGTGGTGATGAAGAAATTCAAGGTGCTCTGAAAGAATTGGCAAAAAACAATGCCCAGGAACTGATGGCATACCAATTGACATAGTTCAACAACAGACTCTGCCTTGGATGTGCTCACCAACTTGTGCCAGGATATCTGGAGGAAAACCACCTGGCCAACTGACTGAAAGAGATCTCTGTTTGTTCCCATTCCAAAGAAAGGTGACCTGACAGAGTGCGGAAATTATTGAACAATATCATTGATATCACATGCAAGTAAGATTCTGCTGAAGATTATCCAAAAACTACTGGAACAGTACATCAACAGAGAACTGACTGAAGTGCAGGCTGGGTTTAGAATAGCCTGTGGTGACAGGAATATTATAGCAAATGTTAGATGTGTCTTGGCTGAAAGCAGGGAGTACAGGAGGAATGTATAGCTGTGCTTCATTGTTTATGCAAAGGCATGTGACTGTGTGGATCACAACAAACTGTGGATGACTGTGAGAAGAATGGGAATCCCACTCTTGACTGTGCTTACATGAAACCTATACTTGGACCAGGAGGCAGTTGTCAGAACAGAGCAAGAAAACAACACTGCATGGTTCAAAATTGGGAAGAGTGTACACCATGGATGTGTCCTATCTCCATACCTTTTCAACATATATTCAGAATAGGTTATCTGGAAGGCTGGGCTCTATGGGAGAAATGTGGCATCAGGACTGGAGGAAAACTCATCAACAATGTGCGTTATGCAGATGGCACAACCCTGCTTGCTGAAACTAAGGAGGACCTGAGCACTTGCTGCAGAAGATCAAGGACTACAGCTTCCAATATGGATTGAAGCTCAACATCAAGAAAACAAAGATTAGTGCAACAATGAATGAGTGGAAGCCCAAAATCTCTGTAAATGTTTATGAAAATTAATAAA